CAATTTCTAGGCCAGACTTGGCAATTTAGAAAGACTCTGTCTCAGTTATGTGATGGATTTAGATTATGCTGCAATTAGCAGTTCAAAAGGATATGACTGTTTTAGGGAAAAATACAATAGAGTAAAATTTTAGAAGCATAGAGTAAGTTTTATAAGAAGTTACGATATACCATAAGAAAATAAGTGTTAAAATCTTAAGATTTTTTAAAACCTCTTTTCTATTGACTAATAGATATTTGGGTAATATTTTTAAAGTTTATCTTAAAAAGATTGCAAGTTGGGAGTAGTTAATATTTAAGACAAATCCAATATATATCATTTTATATTGTTTCTTTTATATTGTTTAATAAAGCAAATGAGAATGCATGCTTTGCTATTTCACATAGTATAGTAAATCTTTGTAATAAGAAATTAAGGAATCAATACATGGGACACTAACTTTTTTTTTTTTTAAATACGGGGGATTGAAACCAGGGTCACTTAACCACTGAGCAATATCCCTAGCCAGTTTAATATTATTTAAAGACAGAATCTCACTAAGTTGCTTAGCACATTGCTAAGATATTGAGAGTGGCTTTGAACTCACAGTTCTTCAGCCTCAGCCTCCTGAGCCTGGCCTAACTATTAATCATTTATTTATTTATTCATTCATCATGATCAGAAGTTAATTTTTAAGTGAATTTCACTTTGGGTTTTTTTTTTTTAATACTGTACTTGATCCCAGGGGTTCTTTACCACTGAACTACATCCTCTGTCTTTGTTATTTTTTATTTCGAGACAGGGTGTTGCTAAATTACTGAGGGTCTTCTCAAGTTGCTGAGGCTGGTCTAGAATTTGTAATCCTCCTGCCTAAATCTCTGAGTCACTTGGATTACAGATGTGCACCATCACGCCTGGCTTCACTTTGATTTTTTTAATGGTAGATATTCTGCTACTTGCACATTTTTTTAGTAAACTTAAAGTAAACATTATGTCGTATTCATTCAGATTATTAGTTTCACTACTTGTTGAGTTATTGTTTAGAAAGAAAGCTAGAAATAGAACCATGAATTTGTGCTAATCTGTTTATTCTACTTCATGATCAGAGATATTTTTGAAGTTAATTGTTTTCTCTTTATAATGACAGCTTTTTAAACAGACAAAGTCTTAGTGATTCTAGGAGGTTGTGAGCAAATAAAACTGCTCCTGTTATAACACATCTTTGACAGGCTTCCACAGGCCAGGCCTCTGAAGAGCTAACAGAGCTTCCTTTGGATGTAAGAAGAAACAAGTCCTGTATGCACACAGCTGTCCACAGATACCCTCATGGACATGCCAGACGGCCCTCTCACATACACATCTGTTAATGACTGGTCTGGCATCTGTGTAGAAAAAATGGAGCATATGGCAGTATGATTAAGGCCTGAAGGTAGGGGTTACAATGCCTGAGTCAGCAGAAGCATCTAGAACTTGGAAAGTTGGATAGATGTTTCTGAATACATGTTTTTTTCTGGATCATCCTTTCAGGTCTTCAGACCAAATGTTATTAGAATTGGAGTCCAGGTGGGAAGGAAAGTGGTGAAACCAGGCATTCTAGGTCTTCAGCAGCATTTTTAAGGTGACTAAATTGCTCTGTTTATGACTAAGTATAATCAYTTATCAGAAGAAGCCCACCCCAAAAGTCATACATCAAGTAGAACTATATGAGCTTCTACAGTTGAGCCACCCAGATGGACGCTAAGGAATCCTGATACTGCRGTGTATTGAGCAAGTATATCCAATGCTGTTACAGGAGAGAATGAATGACTATTGCATATGACTTGCTATGTAGCGCATGCCCACCTGAATTGTGCTGCTATAAACACTGATGTGGCTGTGTCCCTGAAGTGATGCTGTTTTTAAGTTCTTTGGGTATAAACCAAGGAGTGGAATAGCTGGGTCAAAAGGTGGTTGCATTCCCAGCTTTCCAAGGAATCTCCATACAGCTTTCCATATTGGCTACACCAATTTGCAGTCCCACCAGCAATGTATGAGTGTGCCTTTTCTCCCACATCCTCACCAACAGTTATTGTTGTGTTCTTAATAGCTGCCATTCTGACTGGAGATGAAATCTTAAGATAGTTTTGATTGGCATTTCTCTAATTGTTAGAGATGTTGAACTTTTTTTTTWTATATATATTTGTTGATTGATTGTATATCCTCTTCTAAGAAGTGTCTGTCCAGTTCCTTGGCCCATTTATTGATTGGGCTTTCTTTCTTTCTTTTTTTTTTTTGGTGTTTAGCTTTTTGAGGAACAAGACTCTTTACTGGTAGTACTTTCATCTTTCTTGAGCAGGAGATACAGCATTGACTGAGAGTATCAAACTGACCTACAAAGAAGGTAGCTAGTTTTTATTCCCATGGAAGGGACACAGGGATATACTAGAATCTAGGAATTTTAATTGACTTTGAGCACATCTTCCAAGGTGTTTTCTTTGTGGGCACTGTGCACACACATTAACCTTGGAGGAGCGCAATCAGTTTGGAGCCAAATGTTACATCTCTCTCAGTAGAATCTTCTTTGCCTTGGGATAAGAATGAGTGGCTGCAGCTGTCAGGACAACACATATGTAGGGTGGGGGAAGGAAACAAATCACGTGAGCAACAGGTTAAGAGTCCTGGGAATTTGCTATTTTGGTGACTCCTCCACCATTGTTCTTTGTCATGAGAGTCACAATGAGGATTTCCTGGCTTTACTGATGCACCTGACTTTTGAGGCTGATTAGATGGTTTTAGAGTAAGCAAGTGAGAGATTAGCAAAAGGTACATACTCATAATAGTTAACAAGCCATTCGTTATTGTAATGGGGCTGGAGGGCTGTCTCATTCCCTCCTCAAGAGTGTTTCTTTTTATACCTCTGCCTCATTCCTTTCTTCTTTCTTTCCTCTTCCTCTAGCCATCCAGAAAACCTGGAAGACCTTGGAATAGAGGGTGGGGGTAAGGACAGTTTTATCACAGATTTCAGAGCTCATCATTACTTTTGGTCTTGGGGTCTGCGGGAGCTTTGCTTCCCTCAAGATCTAGAACACCTCATTAGTGACCCATAGTTGTCAATCTATTGCCATAATCCCCTCTGTTCTGTGTCCCCAGGAAGCCTCTGTTGGGCCAAGGTTTCTTGACTTCTGTTCTTGCTCTCGGGACATTGCTTTCCCTTTTAGGGATGGGGGGTGCGAGTGGGGAGAGAAAGATGAGAGAGAATATAAATGGCTACTGACCTGAAAATGTTTATGCCACAAAAATCAGTTAGATCCACTAATTTCTTTTTTTTTTTTAAGAGAGAGTGAGAGAGGAGAGAGAGAGAGAGAGAGAGAGAGAGAGAGAGAGAGAGAGANGAGAGAGAGAGAGAATTTTTAATATTTATTTTTTAGTTCTCGGCGGACACAACATCTTTGTTGGTATGTGGTGCTGAGGATCGAACCCGGGCTGCACGCATGCCAGGCGAGCGCGCTACCGCTTGAGCCACATCCCCAGCCCAAGATCCACTAATTTCTATGAGGTGCTAATTATTTCAGTCTAAAGATAGTGATGGCACAAGGAAGTGATTTGTGCTGGGCCTTAGAAGAGGAGGAATAAATGTGGGGAAACATTTACCTATAAATTTATTTTGGTATATAGCAAAATATGTCACATGAAAAATGTCAAATTAAAAACTAGATAAAAATGAAATATATTATGATTGTTGTTCTTGGAATAAAATTTACATATTTAGGAAAATTCCAAGAAAAAAATGGAAGTAGCATCATGCTCTCAAGGATTTTCAGGGGGCTGGAGTTGTGGCTCAGTGGTAGAGCACTTGCCTGGCATGTGTGAGGCCCTGGGTTCGATCCTTAGCACCATATATAAAGAAATAAATAAAAGATCCATTTACAACTAAAAAAAATTAAAAAAGAATTTCAGTGGTAGAACTACGGGTGATACTTATTTTACAAATTAAAAAAATATACACACATATATAGGCATGTATTTTAAATTTCAACTTAAGGAGCAGTAGCCCTTGTATCATTAAAATTTGTAATGGATACCAAAAATTGGCTTGTCAGATATTTCAGTTCACTTTGAGTCTACTGTGCCTATATCCAGACTGTGGGCCTGAGCAGGACTCTTAGCTTAGTCCCCAACCCAGACAGTAACAGCACAGATTAACTGTGGATTTTTCAGAAATAAGACAGATCTCTACTTTACTCTCCCTTGTCCTTCCTGGCAGGTCCAGATGGGCACTGGTTGAGTAGGGCAAAACTGTTCAGAAAACATCTACTTGTCCACAATGTGAAATACAGATACCAGTTAGAACAATACCCCTTTTTTCATCCTTTCTGAGCTTGCTTACTTTGATCATCTTGAGGATAATCATTTGCCCTCTATCAGCAGTACTTGCTTATCTGAAAATTCTCAAGACATCAAATAATGAAAGATGACTTAATTAATATTATCTTTAGTGGCTGAGTGAACTCAAGGGGGAAAAGAGAATAAAAGGTCACCACTTTCAAAATTCCCTGTAGCCATGAATAATAGTGTTAAAGTTGTTACATATATTCTCTGATCCTTTGTCAAAATATTACGTCTTTAGAAATCATGTCTTTACTGATTATATTAGATGTTTTAAAGTAGGGGTAGGGAGGCAAACTCTGTCTTTTCCAGTTCCCAAACTAATGAACTGGGCATTTGTATTCCTGTTTGTGATTCCTGATGTCCAATTACTATAAGCTGTTATTCTATAAACACTCATTTCAGATCATCTTCACCTTTATTACTTGTAGTGCTTTCAAAGAGAACAATGGCCTTTTTCTAGTTCAAAAATGGGTGGTATATAGCTGAGAACTATTTCATGCATTGGGGATACAAACAAGTTGTAATGTGATAAAGAACAAACGGGGAAGAAAATGATCGCAACAGTTTTTCATTGTGTCTTTTATTTGATGGGGGAGATTGGAAGGGAAAGATTGTTTCTTTCCTTAATTTTTTTTTTTCCTTTTCTTCCTTAGACAAAACCCGTTGCATTTGCAGTTCGGACAAATGTCAGCTATAGTGCAGCCCATGAAGATGATGTTCCAGTGCCAGGCATGGCCATTTCGTTTGAAGCAAAAGATTTTCTGCATGTTAAGGAAGTAAGGAAATAATTTTAATTTCTATCAGTTTAATTTTTCACCTTGAAACATCATTTTTCATTTCTTATTATTGTGAAATAGCCTGAGTATACAGCTGCAGTTGTATAACATACACTGAATCAGTGACCCTCAAATTTTTCTGATATAAATGTACATTTTTAAAGTAGAAAGGAATCAAGGGCTTTTGGCAATAACTTCAGGGCTCCCTTGGGCTCTGTGGCCCAGATATCAGGAATTGTTACAGTAGATGATCCTTTTTTACGCTTAACCTCTCTTTTTCTTTTAAGGTTTAACCTTGACTATGTGTAGATTTTCCTGATGTCTGAAGTTTAGCCATCAGGGGAAGGTTTAGTAATTTCCAGAATTCACCACTCTTCTTCTCTGCTGACAATGTCTAAACTCAGATTACGCGTGCCCTTTTTACCCCTTGAGTGCTAAATTTCTGCAGTGAAAGGGAGAATAGCAGAAGTTGGAGCCAGTGAGGCAAGAAAGAGATATTAGGAAAATTATTTTCCTCTATGCCATATGTCTCTACCTGTCAGTTAATAACAATATAATGTGAAAATTGGAACAATTCACCCTTATGTTTAAATTTTGTTTGGACTCAACATGTATGAAATGCCTGCTATGTGGGACATTATATTAAGTGACAGAAAGTCCCCCTACATAATATTGTGTGTGTGCACATGATATTTTTCTTGGATCTGGAGGGATTTACAATTGGAGCATTTTACATATGTCATAGTGTAACACTTTACATATGTAAATTTAACTTATCAATGTACTAAACATTATAAAGAGGTAATAAGTGCCAATTAAAAGACTATCATTTCAGTAACATAAAAGAGATATAAAATATTGGTTATATAGAAAAGACAGAAAAAGTTTTCAGAAGTGGTAGTGTGCCTAGAACCTCACTACAACAAGAAATTAGAGTAACATAAGGTCTCCTCTTGAGGGATAGTGCTCAGAGGAGAATCTCTTTCTACCATGGAAAGAAAAAGAAAACATTGTTCTTTTTTGAAGTGTTTCAGAATAGACTTATTCAGTTGAGGAAAACAAAATTAAATTATACAGACTAAAGATAAATATTCTACCTATAGGAGATAAAGTATCAGCATCAACATAAAGAAAAATCATGTGTGAATTCTGTTAGCAAAATTTACCTTTGTGCACTTTTACAAACACAAAATATTTCAGATAGATTCCTGTATTTATCTCACTCTTAATTCTTCTAGTTAATCTGATTATTTAAGGGAAAAAATCTCTAATTCTTCCTAGTTCCTGATGGTCTTTTACTAGGAAGAGCTATTAATCTCTGAACCTAGAGAGCCTGTCCTACTCATGGTGACAACAGCAACTGTGACAGAATTCTACCCCATCGTAAAGGCAGCACCGAGCAAAAGAAGAAAGCGTAAAGCCTTTAATGGACTGCTGCACACACCAAACGCATTAAACCCGTGAACCTAAGGGCTTCTTGAGTTTTGATATTTGAGGCATAGTTCATTGTAATTGTCACATTTTCTCTCCATTGAAAATGGTTAATGTGGAAGAAAAAGGATTCAAAGATTTGAACTTCTGATTTTAACACTTCTGATTTTGTGTTTAGAAATTTAATAATGACTGGTGGATAGGGCGACTGGTTAAAGAAGGCTGTGAAATCGGATTCATTCCAAGCCCAGTTAAACTAGAAAACATGAGGCTACAGCATGAGCAGAGAGCCAAGCAAGGGAAATTCTACTCCAGGTATGGGAAAAATGTCAAGAGTTTGTGCAAAAGTTCAGAGTATAACATCATATATATACTGTTTGTATTCTACAGTCTTATGTATTTGAAAGTAGCCTGGTGATATGGTCTATTGATAGCATAAATACTGCATTTTAAAAACATCCCATTTGGAAGATAACTAAAGTTAAATATGATCATTAATGAAAATAGCTAAGGTCATACAGTATTAAATTCCAGCTTCAGTGCAGAGGAAATCTGAAGTCCTAATCATTTGCTGAAAATACTCTGGCACAGAGCAGCCGTAGTGACTAATCTGAGTGTCTTTAGCTGCCTGGCATGGCAGGGAGATGTTTTAGAGATGACAGTCTCAGACATGATTGGCAAATAGCAGTTCTTGTCATCTGTTAGTTTCATTTTCACCTAAGAAACTCAATTTTCAGTTCTATCCACTTTTAAGTATTTAAAGAGATACTAGGTATGAAACAAGTTAAAACTGCCTTTGCAGATAGCAATTATGTGAATTATGTAATCGGCTGGGGCTGAATAATCCTTCCTAGCAGGCTTGAGGTTATTTACCCTTCACTGGACAACTCACTAGGGGGCTGCTCAGACAGGTGGTGAATTTTAAACTGAAACCTATGCAGACAAGTCCAAGGACATGACAAGCTTCTCCCCACATGAAGGATGGGCTACAGGCAAGACTTTAGTTTAATCTGGACAGCTTGGTTTCTATTTCTCTATGCTTTATATCTTGTTTGTTCATATGATGATGCAAATTCCTTTGTCAATGATAACATTTTAAATGTCAGCAAGGATTTTTTTTACCCAAGTATCAACAAATGAAATGGAATGTGTCAGTTTGGAATAGCCATCCTCATTAAGTAGCATTTACAACTGTCCAGTTCATAGCATCTTATAATTAATTCCAGGGTTAACTTTTCAGATAGAAGTATAATCTTTCCTTTAGTTCTCAGGATTCAGCCCCATCTCTAAACACAAACTTGCCTAAGTGGATAAAAACACTTCCTGCCTTTGTAGGTTTTTTTCATTTGTCTCCTAACATTAAAAAAAAAAAATTAAGACAGAGTCTGGAGCAGTGTTTCAAAATTCCAGTAAACTATAAAAACAGACAGAAAAGGCGATTACACTTGGATGTGGTTTACAAATTTGGCATTTTTTATACAAGTAAAAGTTAAGGACTGGCTGGGTGCTGTGGCACATACCTATAATTCCAGTGGCTTAGGAGACTAAGGCAAGAGGATCATGAGTTCAAAGCCAGTTTCAGCAAAAGCAAGGTGCTAAGTAACTCTGTGAGACCCTGTCTCTAAATAAAATACAAAATAGGGCWGGGGATGTGGTTCAGCAGTTGAGTGCCCCTGAGTTCAATTCCTGGTACCCCTCTCCACGTCCCCCCAAAAAARTTAAGGGCAAATTTACATCCTAGACATTTTAACTGAGGATTATCTGTCAAAATTCTACACAGCTAAAATAATATTTTGACTATTAAACTGCAAAAARAATGTAAAATAAACCCACACTTAAACTGAAATTATACTTAGTGTTTTAGAAAAAGAAAATACAATAAACTTCTGAAAGAAAATGTTTTGGTTCTGGTAATAAGTGTCCTTACATAACTGCCAGAAACTGCCTCTATAAATACCACTTCTTACTAATTTTACATACTGTCTGGTTACTTATTAAATATATAGGAGTATCTCTTAAAAACCTTAAAATAGATGTAGAGCCCTCCTGGTAGTTACTTAATAGGTTTTTGATATGTCATGTTTGTTTTATATATGAAAATGCTAGAATAACAGCAATGATTCAGTTTTTTATTATTTAATGTTGCTGAGATTTCACATTAATATTCACTATAATATTAATATAGTGAATATTGCCCTTTGATGCACAGACACTATGACGAATTCTTTCAACTAGATTCTTGCTCATGCATAATAAACATTAAGCAATGGGATCATTTTGCCCAAATTCTGTGTCCTCTTTTAAGGTATTCCTTGTCAGGCTGAGGTTGTGGCTCAGCTGTAGAGTGTTTGCCTTGCACATTTGAGGCACTGGGTTCAATCCTTAGCACCACATAAAATAAATAAAGAAAGAAAGAAAGAAAGAAAGAAAGGTATTGTGTCCATCTACAACTAAAAATATTTAAAGAAAAAGATGCTGCTTGCCATCTTCATTTGTGAATCTGAGTAATATGTTATTTCCATTCTTGTACACTGATGAAAACCATAAATGCTTTTTTATTTGGTACTGGGGATTGAACTCAGGAGCACTCAACCACTGAGCCAGGTCCCYAGCCCTATTTTGCATTTTATTTAGAGACAGGGTCTCACTGAGTTGCTCAGCACCTTGATTTTGCTGAGGCTGACTTTGAACTTGTGATCCTCCTGCCTCAGCTCCGAGCCACTGGGATTATAGGCATGAGCCACCATGTGGCCAATGCTGTTGTTTTAATATTAGCTCCAAAGGTTCTAAGATGCAGAAATGTATTTTCTATCAAATTTTAGAATTTGGTGGTTTTCAAGGATATGCTCTTCAGATCATTCCTAAATTAACCCAGTTTAATTCTCCATATTAACTATGCTTATGAAATATTCTGGGTACTAATTGCTGATTAAATCATAAAGTACTCTGTTTCACATTTCTTCATGTGAAAGTTTAGCAAGCTTTAAAATTGCTTTGTTTTACTTTTATAGGTTGCATAATTCTTAAAGGTTAGAAGCTTTAAAATTGCTTTGTTTTACTTTTATAGGTTGCCCATGAAGGCTTGAGCACTTTGAATCTTAGTATAGTAAAAATAATGAAGCTAAGACAAAGGAGCTGGAACTAAACAAGAAGAAAACATTGAACTTGGGTGTTAGCGTTAATATTCTTTGTATTCACTAACTCAGAAGGCCTCCAAATTAAAAAAAAAAAAAAAAAGCAGAAGTAGTCTCTGTTGTTTAGTCACTTCTGATCTGGCTAGAGAACCTGAAGCCTGCAGAAATTATCCTAGTTTGCTTCTATTCTCTGAAGGCTTTTTAAAATTAAACCTCGGATTTGAAAATGTGAACAGAGACCATCACATAATCATTTCAAGTACTACAGAGTCTCCACCAGGAAATTACTGTTCACATTCTTGTAAAGAAAAAGAAAAAAGAAAATACATTTTAAAGTTCAATAAAAATACAATCAAGTAGCATGTCTATTAAGCAGTATGAATGTTTTAGAATCTGAAATAAGTATCAGATTTAATATGAGTTTTTGCTTTACTTCAGTAAATCAGGAGGAAATTCTTCATCCAGTTTGGGTGACATTGTTCCTAGTTCCAGAAAATCTACACCTCCATCATCTGGTAAGTAGGTGATAAGTGCTGAACAGTATATACTGCATTTCATGCTTCCCCCAGTCTGATCTAGTTTCATGAATTCACATATTCTGAATCACTCTGTCAATCCTACAAATGCTAAGATATATCAGAAATCAAAACTAACTAAATAAAAAACTAACTTGTGGAGTTAGCAAGAATTTGGAGAACTTTTTCTGGCTTCGGGTGAAAAAAAAAAAAAGTGTATCAATTTACTCTGAGTTACTATAGATGACCATGGCAATAAAGAAGTAAATGCCGGCCAACTATCACAGTATAGTGTGAGTTGTAGGGCTTCAGAATTAAATAAAAAGAGAACACAGCATTCAAACTTTAGAATAGAGTGAGGAATGGACAATTAAGTGAAGATGGAGTGATCAGCTTCTCAGAAGAAACACTAGACAGGCTCTGTGGAAGACATAGACAATGCACAGAAATAAACAAAAACTCTTGTAGGCAGAGTAACACTACTTATTTTTTCCAAAGTAATGGATTTATTCTTATAAGTGCTAAACAAAATAAAGGACAGCATTTAAAGCTGAAAATTTCAAGTAAACAAAAATAATCTTTAAGTATGTATTTCATGGGAAATACTTAACACTGAAAATTTATGGATCCTACTTAAACTAAAAAAATTGTTTTATCTGGAAATCAAATTTAAGTGTATTTTGTTTTATGTGGTAACTCTAGCATTTTGAGTAGAGCTTACATTTCTATATAAATAGAACACTCACTGTCTTAGCATGAAAGCTCATAATCAGTGCCTCGGATTTTATACGACGTAATGGGGGTCAGTAGGATTATAAGGATTGGCTKCCAGAGTGTTATAGCAAAATGATCTTGTGTGTGATTTCCAAGAAGCTGGAAATGAGAAAAAAATCATAAAGAGAATTATGCATCTATAGAAAAGTAAGAAACTGTTGGCACTCTGACTACAGTGTCTTAAGAACAGGATTCTTCTATTACTAATAATCATACCAAGTTCCTGAATGTGGACAGCTTTTAGAAACTAGAGATTTAGCAAAAACTACAGATTCCTTTTTAAGTGAGCAAAATCTGAACACAATGAGAAATTAGGATGCATATTGATTTCAAAAGCAATGAGCTTATAACTTGCAGCAATTCTAAGATGCTCAAAATGAAGTAACAGTGTGGTTGAAGGGAAGATTAAACTACTGTAGCTATTATGTGAGGCTTGTATCTTCCCTTGAGCATTAGGAAGAAGGTCTTCCCTGAATGCACAGAAGAAAGGAACCTAATCCTGCTCCACTCAAATGTGTGAAGCTGTACAGATTCCTACATAGACTCATACATTTCCTATATATGTAAAAGAATATCTCCAGGATTCCTGAGGACTGCTACTAGGCTCTTAAGATGGAAAAAATGCTACATCACATTGTGATAAAGCCCCTCTTTTGTCGGCCAGTACAGTTCTTTCATTTCCTCTAACCAGACTGTAGCCATCTAATCATTCTAGCCATATAATGAAAACCAGTGCGTGCATTTTGGAGAATAAGTTAGTGTATATGTAAAATAAAATTTCATTTTATAGTCATATGTTTATCATTACTAAAAATAAGTTCCATGAAGAATATAATAAAATAAAGATGACTTTAAACTTCACCAAAGTTTTATACAGACACAGGACTTTGGAATAACTTCTCTGAATACCAAGAGAATAAAACATTTGACCGACTGGCCTGGAGATGTGATCAACTGTGAAATGAATAATAAGCAATTAATTTTTACATCAATAGCTCAGTAGATCTAAGGTAAACCTTCAGAAAATTTTAGAGAGGATCCAGGAACAACTACCCCAATTATCAAGTGTGGATTGGCCTATAATTTCATCTTTTTGTTTCTCAGAGGCCCTATCTATAATTCCCCTCAATCATTGCTAGATCAAGGAACATTAGCATCTGACTGAAGTAAATATGCATGGATGTTCTCAAGGGTGTGGAAAGGAAAACTTTCTACTTCACATTTGCATAATGGGGTAGTACGCCACACACCTGCATGTGTGTAGACACATCACCCTTGAGCTCTGCTCACCTTGACCCAAGTTCTGAGATAAAACAAAATATACCTTTCAAAAAATGTTCCCAAGGCTCTGTACATAATTACATACATACATGCATATATATGTATGCACACATATAAACATAAATGCTACTAAGGAGGACTGAAAAAGCTATTTTCAAAGTATTTTTTCCAACTAAATACTAATGTTTGCCAAGGTATGGAAATACAGTTCTGAATTTAAAAAGCAGTAACATCTCTTAGTAAAAGGAGAACCATGTGAATCCAACATACTATACAGAACTGTGAAAAAAAGATTCTCTTTTTGATGGGTTCTGAAAGTGACCACATATTCTTGAATTATCAGTGTTATAGAGAAAACCCAAATGCTTTTAGACTTAAGTTAACTAAATTCAGAACCAGTAAGTTGGAAAGTTGTCTCTCTGGGATATGGGGCCCCTGTGTTGAAATAAAGATAAATTTTAGTCCTCACTCAGGCTATGTGTGTGGGTAGCCAAATTCTGAGCACATCACAACTTTTATGCATTTCCACTCTTCCTTGTAAAACAAATTCATCTGATGATCACAGCAGACAGGGTTTAGTGAGCAAAGCATAAAATTCAGTTCATGAACTTTGCCATCCCAGAGTGCTATCAACTTTGACCTCCAATTGGGCACCCTCAGTTTCAGAAAGGCATTTAGAGGGAACTGTCCCTCGATTGGAGCCTTACTAAGCCAAATAAAAGGTGGAAAAAAAAAGAGTATGTGGAAATCTATGGCCAGAAAGGAAATGTATTTAATATTGGTTAAGACCTGTTACAGGAACAATGAAATAATGGCCCAGATCCTCTCCTTAGTCCAGAAAAGTACTAACAATAGTCTTCCTTTTTAGGATTCAAGGAAAATTATTCCTCGACTTTCTATTTTTCAGACTTTTCCCATGATAATCATTCAATAAGCCCCATAATGAAACATACCTATATGAGCAAAGGGTTAACCATAGTGTGCTATAAAAGCCAGGGTAGGTTCAAAGCCCTGGGCACATTTTATAATTTCTTGGCACACCACACACTGAACCTTTTAGTTACTCCATATGCATAGACAGTAAAAAGAAAGACATATTTACTAGGTAAATATGTGGAATTAATTTAATTTATTATTTATTACTTTCCCTTGATAGAAGACTGTACCTGATCTATTATGCAAGCCCAAACTGGTATTTGTAACACTGTACAAACAGTGCCAAGTATTCACTCCATCACAGGTTTTTGACCTTATCAAATGAAACAGAAAAATTAAATGAGATCCTAATTTCCAAATGGCTGAATGATCTAAAATCCATAATAACCACAAAACTGAAAAATAACATGCCTATAAGATGATATCCCCTTCTTTAGAAGGTTAAAAGAGACTATTGTGAGCATCAATTCAGCTTGTATGTCACAGGAATGTATATGTGTTGCAACACCAAGCAATCCGTTGTTCCAAATGGTAAATCATTCCTTCAATCTGAAAGTACTGTGGTTTTTGTTAGAGGGCTAACATGTATGATATGGTGTTTTCCCACATGGTAAGTAAATTTTCTTTTCATCTCCCTGATCTAATCTCAACCATAAAATAATTTTCTAGTGAGCTCAACTCTATGATACCCTCCTGAATCCTGATACCAAAGACATGACCCCCTTGAAGAAGCAAAAGGAATTGAAAGTGTGTGCCCAGATTGAGAAGGACTTAACTGGAGGGCAGCATGGTATAGGGACAAGAATGGACTCACTGCGATGGTAGAACTAGGTTCTGAGTCCTGCCCTGCCGAGTTATTACTGAGAACATAAACTCTAAGTTCAGCTTTTAAATCTTATATCAATGTCGACCCTCTTATTTTTAAGTGCTTCTATAGTTGAAAGAATTGTATCATAATTATGTGTGGAAACATTTTTATAAACTCTGAGATTATGCATCCTTTTCCCATTTGCTACTTTTTAAGAGTAGTATTTTTATGTTGAACGATTTCAAATGGAAGGGATGTCAAGCAACAATCCCAAACCCTCACTGTACAGTGGAAAAGAACAGTGACCTATTATCTTAGGTCTTTGTGCCCTCCATTCTGCCTAATGGGTTATATCCAGTGGCTTCATAAGTCACCACAAGCCTTATTGTTTTTATTAGACTGATTTCATTGGGATATCATCAGATCCAGTGTTTTCCAATGAGTCTTTGATCAGGCCTTTCTGAGTGTGCACTTGCCATTCAATTTAATCCTGTCTATCTTGAAACCCTCTCTGTGCTGTTTGGATTGAGGATTTTCTATTCTCTTTCCCTCAAATGCCTGTTGCAATTGTAGTGAATCTTTTCACATGGCCCCTATTTTCCACAAAATTAGAAATATGAGGCATATCCTGTTAAATTTTCAATATAGTTGCCTATTATCTAAAAGCTGGGTTAAGACACTGTACAAAGTGAAGCAGAATGTTCTGTACTGTAGTTTTATATAGTCGATGTACAGAATAGCAACATTATATCTGAAACTATAAATTAAAAACATTTCTCAAAATATTCAAGAGATCTAACATGGAATAGATTTGCTCAAGCAAACAGATATGATAAGGGTATCTTTCAGTTTTATCAGATTTGATTACATTGCATTCTTAATGTGCTGTACCTTTAAATTTTACTTTCTTTGTGTACTGTGTTGAACACTTATTTATGATAGCTCTTTTACAGTGGTTAGTTTATTTGGTTTCATTTTATTTTCTTTATAACCTGTTTTTCCTCTCCTGTGATGATTTTTGAATTGTTTGTCTGTATATAGCTATAGACATAGATGCTACTGGCTTAGATGCAGAAGAAAATGATATTCCAGCAAACCACCGCTCCCCTAAGCCCAGTGCAAACAGTGTAACGTCACCCCACTCCAAAGAGAAAAGAATGCCCTTCTTTAAGAAGGTAACATGAACTTCCCAGCTCCCGTTGTCCACCTGCTCAACTGCACTGCGTCACATTTCTAGTCCTGTTGACTGTCTGTGTCCTTTGACAAGCCAATAACATGCATGCTCTGTTATTCTTTGTTTCTTTTCCACGCTGCTGTAGCTAAGCAGAAGCAGAAATCGGTAAGTTTACATTGACATAAGCTGTGTTTATCCTGCCACTGGCATCATTAGCATTAATTCCCACAGTTTTATTAAATACAGTCATTTCTGTCCTAAGAAAAGAACCTATCAATAGCTAATTGAGTCCATGCATTCAAACCGGCTAAATTCAGTGACCTGTTAAAATACCATTACAGTACTTATCCTTTTTGATGGAATAATATCTACCACCAAGGGAATTTGTTTCAGCATTCAAAGGATGTCCAACACTGACAACTCCATCTAATGCACCTCAATTGTGCATGCTTATTCTGTCTGTCTTTGTTTCTTTCTTTTTTCCAGAAATTTAACTGATAATCAAGCATATTAAAGCAGTTATTAGATACTGATTTATGATATCCAGATACATAGCTTGTACTAAAAAAAGATGATTCAATTTTTAATTTAGTCAGTATTTAAACTTCTAATCCACTAGGTGCAAAATCTGCAGATGAACAAGACCAGTGGAAAACTGCAGGCTTGTTTTGGCGGTTTACTGTGAGTTTTTTCTATTGTCATATATAAATACTCTCCCAATGTTCTTGCCTTCTCCATCAGTCAGATTTCAGCATCTCACCTGTTGGACAATGGGGCTGGTGGCCATGCATAGAGCCTTTGCCATTGGCCAACCAAGATGCTACGCACTGATGCTGCTTGTCCCCTGACTGGAAATTCCAGGGAATTCCTGAGCTCTCTTTACACCAGATAGCCTGATTCCTTTCGGCATGTTTTGTAGCTTCAAGTATTATTTTTTAAAGGAACACATACCCCCAAATTTCCATTTTTTCCCCTTCATTTATAAGCCACTTTCCAGAAGCTACTCGGCTGTCTTTTAGACTCATATTTCCTAACATCACCAACCTAGCACAAACATGGGAATACTCTCTGCCCCATAGTTTCTCAATACTAAAATCTTTTCCTCTGCAAACAAGTATTTTACTCTGTAGAGGAATTCTAGGTTTATTAACTTATTGTGTCATATACTGAACCCTACACTTAGTTTTTTTTTTTTTTTAAATAAATTTAGGATACCTTAAGAAGGGAAGACCTCAGAACTTAAGGCAAAACTTAAAACACCTGGATTTTTGTGTTAATACAGAAAGCCCCAACTTAATATTCATCCACTCTAGTGGGCCTATCTTTCTGGTCCTATCTTCTGATCACAGCTAAATCTTGCAGCCAAGTGACCAGCAGTGTCCACAGGTTAGGAACTTAGAAAACCATCATTGGTAAACCACTCTGGACATCACAGGACAAGAACAGCCACTTAAACCATGATGCTGGTCAAGATAGTGTTTGAAGTTTGCTTACCCTTAAATTTCACAACTTTAAAAAGAGCTTATCACAAATTTTCCACTAAATGATTCAAACAAAATAGGTTAAGTAGGAAAGCRAACATAAAATAGACGTATTCTTGGCTGGGTGCGGTGACACATGCCTGTAATCCCAGCAGCTCGGGAGGCAGAGGCAGGAGAATTCCGAGTTCAAAGCCAACTTCAGCAATTTAGCAAGGTGCTTAGCAACTCAGTGAGACCCTATCTCTAATAAAATACAAAATAGGACTAGGGATGTAGCTCAGTGGTTGAGTGCACCTGAGTTCAATCCCTGGCACCCTTCCCCCACAAAAAGACATACTTTTTATCAATAGGGAACAAAGTACCAATATTCCATCAAATAAGGTAATTTCTGTAGCTACCTTATTAAGAAGCCAATTGATTACCAGCATGGGAACCCTTTGCTAGTTGGCAGTCACAGATTGGAGGAATGAAAGAGCTATTAAACACTGTGCCACTTTAGACTTAAAGACTTGGAAATAAAATTTCTTGGTAGCTGTTATTAAAAATGCATGCAATTTATATTCCTAATTATGATGGTGGGAAAGGTGTTCTTATACTGCATAGTTATAAGGACTTGGCTTCTAAACATTTTCAGTAATATCCCAGGTGGTATAACATAATAATTTAGTAAATATGCTTATGATGCCTTCGGCACTGGTATTCATTCTTCTTATGTTATCAAATCTGTGGTAACTTTCAACGTAGAGCTCAGGAAAAAAAAAAAAAAAAGCCTGAGATTCAACAATAAGACTGTTTTCTGTGTTTTAGGTTGCTTTTAGAGTGGTGCTTGTGTGGCATTTGTGCTGTCACTGTATTATGTTTGTCTCTTTTTTTTCTGTTCAAAAATGTATCCTACCTTAATTGTGTCTATTAAAATTAATTTTAAGAGCTAGGTAAAATTTTAATCAGTAAAATGTGACAGCACAGTCACAGTAATATTTTTCTTCCCCTTGATCATGCTGTCTACAAATATTGGTGAAATCTCAGACAGAAACTATTGAATTTGAAATGCTTTCTAAATCATTCCCACAAGCAACTTGAATTCAAACAAAGTGAGAAACTTTATAATAAGCACTTTTAAGCAACAATAAAATGTTTTTCAATGACAGGCTGATACAAAAATTACATTTGCACATTAGTTTATCAAATTCTTAAAATACTTAAAAAGCATTGTTCTTTTGGTACATGTAATTCTTTAAGTATATATATTTTCATGAATATATATACTTAGTGGAGAAAGGTACTCCTTAACCAAAAAAGAGTTATATAGAAAAAAAATAAATATTAACTTTCCCAGTGTCTAAGACCATATCTATTGCTCTCCTGCATTTCTTTTTTATTAAAAAGATTATTTCTGGATCAATTTAATATTTTCTGTTATTAAAATAATACAATATACAAATACTATCAAACAAATCAGTCTTAATGTAATCAAATTAGGTAATATATAATTATTTTGAAAAAACTGTATTTGAAGAAAGCTGAAAAATGTTGATAGTTTTAGAAATGACAGCAAAATTTATCTCCTCCCCTGCACTTCCAAAAAAGAAACAAATTCCTTCAGAAAAAACATGAATTAGTTATGTAATAGAAACACTAACTAAACTACATTTGAGAAGTATATTAGATATGCAGGTTGATAATTAATCTTTGGAGGGCACTGAAGCACTGTCGAATGTTATTACACATTAATCATCTTCCTTCTGAGACACAAATCTTACATTTATGTTTTTAAATGCCAACATATAAAAACTAAAAATCCAAAAGCATTAATTATTAACCTGGGAACAGTGCTCATAATTACTGTTTACTGGAATATACATTCATGCCAACTTAAATGCTCACAATAAAACAGAATTTTCAAGTATTTGGTAGTGAGATTCACAATGTTTTGAAATTAGGCTTTATGCAGGTAAGACAAACATCTAAGATACAAAGAAAATAGAATCTTTTTTCCGTAATTAACCATGATCATCTCAACTCTTCAAAAAACTCAAATGCATTTGAAAAGCAATATTAACTTCCAGTCAAGCCTATGGCACCTATTCTGCATGAGGCATGTTTCTGTTTGTTCTACAACTAGTTTTTGTTCAAAAGTGGCACTTTATGCTTTTGGAACTATTATGATAATAGCATTTCTTGAGATGAGCAAGAAAATCTCTGCACTATTCAGTAACGTGAAATTCAGGAAAATAAACCCACCAACCTTTGATTGGGTTTATTTAGAAAAGAGGCAAGTAGAAAAAAATTTAAATGTCTGGAAAACCAGTGCCTCATATTAGAGTTCAGCAAAGTTATTTTATTAGATGCAAAATCCTACGTTTCCCCTGTCTGTGAAACATCTAAATTCATGTCCTCTCTCTGCAGACAGAGCACACTCCTCCTTATGATGTTGTACCTTCCATGCGGCCAGTGGTCCTAGTGGGCCCCTCTCTGAAGGGTTATGAGGTGAGTAGCAGCCTTTGCCTCTGTAGCACACTTGACCTTCTCATGTTAAACTGCTTTGTGATTCTACCTCCCACTTTAAACTATGGAATTTGAACTTAAAGAGCCCAGAGCAGCAAAGCATGTTGTTTTTTTCAAGTTGTGGTATATGTTGTTTGGTGTGTTCTCCTGGTTGTTGCTTAGGATATTTCTGCTAGCTACAGTTTCCTCAATCCAGGAAATCGTATTAAATGGAGAGTAACTGAAACCATTTGCAGTCTAATTTATTGTCACTAAAGCATCAGGATAAGTTTGGGGAACTCTTTTGAATTGTCTTTGCATTGGAACTTAGAAACAGAAAAATGTGGTAACCTCACATGCTTCTTTTTCCAAATACAAAGTTAAGGTAATTTTAAGAGTTCTWTTCATTTTTTCCTTTTTTGTATTTTATTTTTTATTAAATTATTTATTTATTCTAATTGGTTACATATGATGGCAGAATGCAATTCATTTCATATTACACCTGTAGAGCACAATTTTTCAAGTTACTGTACACAAAGTATTTTCATACTATTTGTGTCTTCATACATGTACTAAGGGGAATGATGTCTAACTCACCCCACCATTATTCCTACCCCCATGTCCCCTCCTTTTCCCTCCCTCCCCTTTGCACTATCTAAAGTTCCTCCATTCCTCCCATGCTGCCCAGCCATCACCATTATGACTCAGCATGCTCATATCAAAGAAAACATTTAGCCTTTGGTTTTGGGGGATTGGCTTGCTTTACTTAGCATTATGTTCTCCAACTTCATCTATTTACCTGCAAATGCCATGATTTTATTCTCTTTTAATGCTGAGTAATGTTCCATTGTGTGTGTGTGTTTTTTCCTGTCCATCTACTGAAGGGCATCTAGGTTGGTTCCATAATGTAGCTATTGTGAATTGTGCTGCTATAAACATTGATATGGCTGTAAAAAATTGTTTTATCAAAGTAGTAATATTTTATCATAATTTATTGCTTTCTCACAGGTCACAGATATGATGCAAAAAGCATTGTTTGATTTTTTAAAACACAGATTTGAAGGGCGGTGAGTATTTCAGAATATTGGCCTTTGTGGATTTTTGATTTCATGATAACCAAACAGTAGTGGGACAGGCATATGATCTCAAGGGTAAACTGCCCACTAATATCTATATGATGACAGAAATAAGTTTTGTTCAAAGTTGAATCAGAATCAATAAATATTTGTCATGTTTCCTTTCTACATCTGTATCCTGGAAAATCCAGTTCCTGTACTTACATTTATAAGCTGACCTTGGTCATGGCCTTCAGTTTACGATCAACCAGCTCTCATATCACTGCCCAGACATCATAAATAAATATTCCTTTCAATTCACTTTCCTATTCTTCCCAAAGACTTTTCAGCATCTCTTCTTAAACTTTCTCATGTCAATCTCCTTTTATGAACTTGCATCCTATATAACTGAGAAAATGGGGGCAAATAGAGTAGAACATCCAGTAGGTCTCATCATACCTATCCCAGCTTGCAAGTCTACCAGAATGTTCTGCTTAGTGTTAAGATATATTCTAGCAATGGCTAACCCACCTCACAATCACTGGAGCATTAGATCCCATTCAAACTATCTAGATAAAAAACTATCACTCCTTCCCCATCTCTGCATCAGCATTTGCTGTTCCAACGGAAACTCCATCCACATTAAAAAAATGCATTTTCTCCTCATATTTGACTTCATATTCCCCTCAAACTGTCTCACTTTTCGTCATATCTTTATAGCAAGACTTATTTAAAGACTTGTGTATACTGTACTTGCTCTCCTTTTTTCTCTCACATCTATTCCAGTTATGCTGTCACAAGAACTAGTCAAGATCACCAGTGATCTGCACACTGCTAAATCTAGAGGTGAATTTTTACCCCTTATGTTACTTGACCACAAGCAACAGATGACATGGTGGACCATTTTGTCCTCTTTGAAATAGTTTGCTTGGTTTCTGGAACCACATTTCTGGTTTTCCTTCTATYGCCCTAGCTACTCCTTTGTCGATTCTTCCTCATCAGCTAGACATCTTGGAGAGCCCAGGGCTAAACCCTTTGGACTTTTCTCTCTTCCAAATACATTCACTCCTTTTAAATATCATTTCATTCTTTGCTGACATTTCTCTGAATTCCAGGCACAAATACCAAACTGCCTATTCAGCATCACCACTAAGATGTCTACTGGAATTCTCAAACTTAACCTCCAAACCCCCCAAACCTCCCCGTCTTCCTAACCTGATTTAATAACTTCTTCTTCTTTCATTCCCCAAACCCTTCAGCCCCACATCACTGAATTATCCTCAACTCTTCTTTTTTACATCCTCCATCCAAAGGCTGTTGTCTTTATCCTCAAAATACATCCATCTCTAACTACTTCTCATACCTCTTCTACTCTCTATTAGCCTTTTGGTCTGAATACTATCGTATTTTCCCTAGATTTGTCTCAGTGCTTTTTTTTTTTTTTTTTTTTAATGCTCCCTTAAAATCTGCCCTCAGTTCAGCAGCCAGAATGTCCCTGTTAACTGTGGGCTGGAGCTCACCATTCTTCCATTCGTGACTTTTCACTTGGATTGAAAACCAAAGTCCTTTCTGTGGCCTGTATGATCTCTGGGATCTAACCCTGCACACTCCCTTTATTTTCATCTTTCACTACACTCCCGCTTGCTCATTCTGCTTCAGCCACTCACTTCCTCACTGCTACGTCCCCAGACAGCTCAGATCCATGTCCACATCAGTATATATGCACTTTGTAGTTCCCTCTGATAGGAACACTTTTTCCTCAAATATTCTCCTTGGTAACATGTGCATATGTACACACACACTCTTTACCTTCTCTGTTTATGTATTTTACCTATATATTGTTATCAGCCTTCTCTGACTAGAAAAAACTCCAGGAGGATAAGGGTTCTTAAAGTTTTGTGAACTGTGGTACCTAAAATGCTACTTGACATGAACAATGAATGGATTAATGCTGATTCAATGTCTAATGTGTACTCTGTGCTAAAGAAATGTAGAAGCTACTGTCTTTATGAAGGACTCATATGAATACCATAAGTTGCAACGTCTAGCAGTAAAACAGTACACTATGAAGGGGCACCTCAGTATGTGTAGCACAAGGTATAGGTAGCATAGGAGCAATTAATACAGATTTAGTGATGTCCCCAGATAGTATGGGGTTTTAAATGGACCTAAGATCTTACCAATTAAACCAGGAGGAAGAGGAGAAGGGCATGACTAGAAGAGTGTGCAGGTAGCAGGGTGTGATGTACTGTATGTGAAGTAAGCCACCTAGAGGTCTTCAAGGACCTATGCAGGGAATGATTAGTAACAAAGCAAGAAGCTGTATCTAGTATGGCACACCAGTAAGCTTGGACTCAATCCATTACCTTTCCTCCCCTCCCCTCCCCTCCCCTTCAATAAAGCCAATGTTGTGTATTTTTTAAAATTGATGCTTTATAATTATACATAATTTGTTCAATCTCATTCCCTAATACCTTCCTTTTTCCTCCCTCTTCTCTCCCTGATCCACTTGATCTCGTCTTATATATAAACTCACTGTAGCATGTTTTTACATGGACATAGCATAATTTGGGAATTTCATTCCCCAGGACTTCCCTATATACTCTCCTCCTCCCTTCCTATACTCAATATTGAGTCTCCTTCCTATTTGGGGAGCTCTTCTTGTTTTTGCTACCCCTTCCCTACTTTCCACATATAAAATTCAACCCTCGACTTTTAGTCTGGGTTATTTCACTTATAGCACGATATTCCCCAGTTCCTTCCTTTTACTAGCAAATCACATAATTTCATTCTTCTTTATGACTGAGTAAAACTCCAGGTGTGGGGTATGTGTTTCATATTTGCTTTGTCCATTAGTCTGTTTATGGATATCTAGGCTTGGTTCTACAACTTGACTGTTATGAATGGAGCTGCTATAAACATTGATATGCATATATCACTACAGTATGCTGATTTTAGTGTTTTGGGATATACATACACCAATAGTGGGACAGCAGGGTCATACACTAATTCTATTTCTAGCCTTTTGAGGAATCCCCATACTGCTTTCCAGAGTGGTTGCACTAATTTGCAGCCCCTCCAACAATATATAAGTGTATCTTTACCCCCACATCCTCACCAGCAATTATTATTTGTGTTCTTGATCATTGCCATTCTAACTGGAGTGATATGAAATATCAGTATAATTTTGATTTGCATTTCCCTCATTGCTAGGGCTGTTGAACATGTTTTCATGTTTGTCAGTTATTTGCATTTTTTTCTTTTGAGAAGTGACTGTTTATTCTTTTGTCTATTTTTGATTGAGTTATTTGCCTTTTGGTGTTGAGCTCAATACATATTCTGGATATTAATCCCCCCTTGGAAAAGCTTTCAAAGATTTTCTCCCATTCTGTAGGTTCTCTTCATGTTCTTTTCCTTTCCTGTGCAGAAGATTTTTCATTTGATGCCATCGCACTTATTTCTGGTTTTTATTCTTAAACTTATTAAGGAAGTCACTACCTGTGCCAATATGTTGGAATGTTGACCCTATGTTTTCTTCTAGCAGTTATACTGTTTCTGGTGGAATTCCCAGGTCTTTGATCCACTTTGAGTTATTATGCAGGGTGAAAAGAATGGAATCTAATTTCATTCTTGTTCATAGGGAAATCAGTTCCTCCAGCACTGTTTGTCTAAAAGGTGATCTTTTCTCCAAGGTATGTTTTTGACAGCTTTGTTAGGGATCAGGTGACTGTGTCCCTGTGGATTTCTCTGCACATTCTAGTCATTGATCCTCATCTGGTTTTATGCCAATATCATGCTATTTGTTACTACAGCTTTGTAGTATAATTTGAGATCAGGTATTGTGATGCCTCTGCAGCCTAAGCAAGTCTTTATTGAGTATATTCCATGTACCAAGAATTGTGAGGTGTCAAAGCAGACAAGGACTTTAATTTCATGAAGTTGACTTAGACAGCCTTGAATCAATGGGTAGCATAGTAAAGTTTAAGTCAGCTCCTGAAATATCAAAGACATGATAGGAGTCCAAAATTTAAGAATAGATTATAGGGGACTTGGGAACATGCTGGACTAGTACATATTTCTCCATTCTAAATAAGATAAATTTGCTGCCTCTTTGCCACACTCCTTTCTCTGATCCTAATAATATAAGTACAACAGACAGTTTTTAGTGTTCTAATAAATTTCTTAATATTTTCTAGATCATACTTATTCCTCCTATCATTCTAATTTACATTGACCTTTAAGGCAGGGGTGTGCTAGGGATTAAAGCCAGGGCTTCACAATGCTAGGAAAGTGCTTTAGCTACATCCTCAGCCCTTATATTGGTTTTTGACAGGGAAGGCAAGAGTAGGGAGGGAAATTTTTATGGCTGGACAGATATTAATAAGCATCAAGCAAAGAACTAAAAGGAATTRAAACTAGTTTTCCTCTAAATACAAAAAACTATATATTCTTTTCTACCTACATCAATACTAACTAGATGTTTATTGTTCCATTTAGTAAGTGCCAGGAAATGGCATTTGGTTTGGCCTGGGACTGTCAGGCACTGGCCAAGTTTAAAAGGCATACATCTAATCTGCCCAATTGTTTCTTTATTCTCAGTTCTGTCATTTTTCACAATTTGGAATTGTCTACATGAACATGCACACCTAAAATATTCTGTTAAAATAGAAACTGTACTGTCATATGTTAACTCACTGCCCTCTCCTAAAATGGAATGGAATTTATTGACTTACCACTTCTAAGTAACCCTTACTATGATTTGGATTGGAAGGTGAATTCCAGTCACAATGCGTATCTCGGAACCATGTTCTATGGTATCATTCAGATTGATTTCATTTAGGAAACAAAATATCTGAATGTTGGATCATCTACTGCTTCTCACCAGAAGTAACTTCCATASGGCTTTACTAATGGACCTGCCTTGGGCCATCTTGAGTCATAGAGCTGGAGTGCACTACCAATTAAAGATCCACAAAGAAGTAACAAAGTCCATAGGTATAATTTCAAAAGATATAATGTTTTTGGCAAGGCAAGACAACAGCAGAAAGCGCCAGCTATATGTGTATCCATTATATTGTAAAAGGGAAAAAATGGATTATTCCTTTAGGCCCACAAGAGAGAAAATAAAGGTTCTAGGTATTTGGGAATTCTTTTTCTGTTCTGAAACCTAGTTAATTTAACAGCTCTGGATAATTGTTGGAATCACTCTTCCAGTTATTAGTGTTTTGTGTGTCAGGTCAAAAAAGACATGATAAATCATCTTCTTTTTGTTGTGTACAATAGAATAGCCCCTAACAAACGGTGTCATGCCAACAAAATAATCTCCAGATTCACCTCGTAGGACAATGAAAGGTAAATTAACAAAATCATGAACAAAAAGGAAAGCTACCATTTGGGACAAATTGTTTTCTCCACCAGTGACTTTTAAAATGTCAGCCATCAGTACTGAAGTGTTAGGAATGTGTACTGAATTGCTATAAAGATACTGTATACCAGTGCCAGAATCTTGTGTGAGTAAACCTTATTGGAAATCAATAATCCTGGGAAACATTGTATCACTTTTTTTTTCTGGTGTAAGTAAACATCTTCAAAACTGGTTTGGATACCTACCAGAATCACCTGAATCATGTTAAGAAAACTCAAGGGGCCTTTTGCCACTTTTGTCTATTTAATATCAAATCTCTGGGGCTGGGAATGTGGCTCAAGCGGTAGCGCGCTCACCTGGCGTGCGTGCGGCCCGGGTTCGATCCCCAGCACCACATACAAACAAAGATGTTGTGTCCGCCGATAACTAAAAAATAAATATTTAAAAAATTCTAAAAAAAATAAAATAAAATAAAATAAAAATAAAAGTTTAGTTGAAAAAAAAAGTTTAAAAAAAATAATATCAAATCTCTGGGGGCAGGTTGTGAGATTTCTTTTTTTTTTGTGGATTAAATAAGTATTTATTTCATTTACTTATGACAGACTAAATCCATTTCTACTAGTTTAATCTTCTTGTCAATGATGTAGAGCTAAATTTAGAAGTGTGAAGGTGCTGGCTTTAAATTAGGTTCTTTAGAGGCTAAGAATATGAAATTTCAGGATAGTAGCAGTGGACTTCTAGTCACCAAACAGAAAAACGATGAGGGGCATTATAACTAGGAAACAGCTTGCAGCTTTGGTTCTGTCACTGTAATATCTAAGACATCAGTTAATCACAACACTATAATTCATTTCACAGTCACATCCTCTTTCATTTTATATCCACTGCCCAAGTGGGGGGCAAACAGGAGAAAAGAAACATGTGCTGGATTAAACAAGTACCACCAATAACTTGTGCTACAGTACCCTGTGTATGGAATAAACTCCTCATGGACGGAACGTTGTTTCCTAGGTTGTGAGATTTCTAACTGTAGAAGTATATATAGTGATTCTGACATACAATGAGAGTTGAGACTCACTGCTCTAAAATGAATTGTTCCTATGAATTTTGCTATTTAGATCTTCAAGGTCTGCTACTTGGCAGACAATGCCCAAATCATGACTGTTAAGAACTCAGATAGTGGCCTGTCTCATGTAGCATATGCACATAACCACATAAGCAGGTCAATAGAAGCCTAGCTGAGCAGTGTCATGTCTGTTTCCCCAGGATGTCACCATCACAGGGCAGCTGCTTCCCCATAAGTTTGCAGAGCTCTTTCAAGGCTCATAACTAGAGCTCTGGTCATCAGCAGTGCTCAGGTCTCAAACAGCTGTAATAATCAAGTGCCTAATACTTTAGGTAGGTACTCTTGTTTCTGTTAGGAATCCCCATCCCATTATAATATACCAGGTCACTCCCTCCCTCCCTCAGGTCTCCAACAAATGTCCCCTTACCTGAAAGATCATCTCTGAACATTTAATTAAACCTTTCACAGCATATTCATCCTCACTCTTCTGCATTTCCAGCAGCACTTATCATGACCCGACATCAGATATCTATTTGCTTCTCTCCCTCTTCTGTAAGAATGTAAGTTCCATAACAGCACCTAGAACAATGATCGACACATAATTGGTACTCCATAAATATGGATGAAAGTAATGACTATCTTTGCACTATGCAGGTGTTTAGAATAAAGGAGTCCTATTACATGCATTACAGCTGAAAATTCCTTTTACATTCCACACCAACCCCCAAGTAAATAGGAATTTTAAAGTAATCATTGAGCACTGGTTCTTCCTACCTCTAGCCTGATTTCACTTGTGGATGCATTCTGAAATAATAAATTATTTTTTAAATTTATGGGTTTATTATTGGGTTTTTGTTTTTCTTGTTCTTGTGGTGCTAGGACTTAAACCTCACACACACTAGGTACGTACTGTACCGCTGAGCTACAATCCCAGGCTTAGTTGTGCTTTTTAATGCTCAATCAAATTTTCATCAAAGCACAAAATTTTTAAAAATCAAGCAGACTTACAACAATGAAGATGAATCTCAAATCTGTTAGGTAGARTAAAAGAAGCTCAACTTGAAAAGTTAAATATATGTTTCTATTTATATGGTATTCTGAAAAAGTCAAAACTATATGGAGACAGTTAATAGTTTTATGGTTGCCAGAGTAGGACAGGAGGAAGGATTCTCTACAGAGGGGCAACATAAGGGAACGGTAGATCATGAGATAATTCTGTGTCATGAATGCACTGGTGAGTGAAGAATTCTATGAATTGGTAAAAACTCATGAAACTGTACACCCGAAATGTCTAAAAAAAATCTTTTTAAAAATGTCTATTTTTTTAGTTGTAGTTGGACACAGTACTTTTATTCTATTTATTTTTATGTGGTGCTGAGTATTGAACTTAGTACTTCGCACATACTAAGAGAGCACTCTACCACGGAGCCACAACCCCAGCCCTAAAAATGTATATAATCAACCTTCCCATTTAACTGTTGACTTAAATGGTCAGGGCTTTCTGACTAGAATAGCTTTCCTTCAGAATTTTGAAAGCCTTTGCTCCATTAACTTCTGGTTTCCATTGTTGTTCTTAAGAAATACAAAACACTTCAATTCCTGTCCTGTTTTTCTTCTGGAAACTTTTAGTTTTCTCTTTGTCCCATAAATATCATGAAATTTATAAATTTTAGTGTATATCTTTTAATCACTACACTAGATGCTTTCAATTTGAAAAATCAGACTGTTAATTCTGGAATTATTTTCTTTTACCTATTTTCTCTCAACTCCTAATCTGTGGAATTTGAACTTCCTGGGCAATTCTAATTTTCTTAGCTTTCTTCTATTTATCTCTTTGGCTTTTTTGTTAAAGATCCCCTTAACTTTCTTTTAAATTTTGCTTCCTACTGTCACTTTTAATTTCTAAAACATTTTATTTTGTTTTTAAACAACTGTATTCCAGTTTCGTGGATAATAATTCCTTATTAATGGATGACCTTTCTATTTGTTGTGGCCCCTAATGTAAAATGTTTTCCTAAGATGCCTAGTAAACACTGCTGTGCTCAAATTAATTAATTGGAAGTTCTGTGCTGGTAGTGGAGTTTGCCGATGTTATGCTCACCTATAGGACAGTCTTGATGGATAATTTACATAGAAGATATCCAATATACATTATCTTTATGCCTATATATATGTTTTTAAGTTTTTAACAGGCCTTTAAATATTTGTTTATTTATTTATTTACGGTGCTGAGACTCAAACACAGCGCCTCACACATGCTAGGCAAGTRCTCTACCTCTGAGCCATAACCCCAGCTCACAACTTTATGCCTTARTTATTTGGCAGTTTCACCCAATCTTCCTTTCTTACACCTCGAGGATATAAACATAAGCCTGGCTACCAAAATTCACTGATAGGTGGCACTCTTTCTGCCTACAGGTAATTTGTGGTCTCATACAAGATAGGAAAAGAATTCTCACCTGGCCATTTTTTGTGGCGAGCTCTAATTCTGAAGCAGATTTTTAAATTGGGCCTGTCAGTAGCTAGTGGTGCAAAAGTGATTTTTAAATCAGTCGGAACTTCACCATCCTCTTCAAAGATATTGTCAGCATTCAATTTTGTTTCATAGTTTTTTTCTCCTTCCAACTTGAACACTCATTGAATACTTTTTTGGAATATATCATTTACTATTTCCACTTCCAGATCTTTTTGCTCATTTCTACCCTATCTAAAATGAACCCACTCAATTCACTCAATATAACAATACCTTATATATTCTCTTCACAATAATCATCATAATCTTTCATTGCTTTATTCTTCATCTCTGCCACTAGAAGAAAGATCAGATTTGCCTTGATCTTATTTTTCATGATTATATATTGTGCAGGGCCTAAGAATATAGGGCTCAGAAGTCTGGGTTTAAATCTGTATATTTAGTAAATACCCACTAAACTTCTCCTAAGTTTTTGGAATAATTTAATCAGAAAATTCATGTAAAGTGCTTAGTACACATATGGCACTTGTATACAACCAATAAATGCTAAGTAAGGCAAGTACAGGATAAGCAAAAAAGTACAATGAAGTATCCTAACATATGGTTGGGAAATATGGTCATTATATATATATTTCATTCTCGGGATGAATTTTGGGCATATATTTCAATTCCCTTTTATAAGATTAACAACCTTAGGGTCTTTTGTTACTTTTTTCTCCAACAGGATATCTATCACAAGGGTCACTGCTGACATTTCCCTTGCCAAACGCTCAGTATTAAACAATCCCAGTAAGCATGCAATAATAGAAAGATCCAACACAAGATCAAGCTTAGGTAAGTCTGCAATACTGATGAGCTGAAGCTATGTGAACATTGCTCTCCTAAGAATGACAATGAAGAGATCTAGCCAGATGATGCTTCCACGTACTGCACAAACAAAGGGGCATGTGTTGTCAGTAGCTAGTGGTACAATCTTCATTTTATTGTGTGGAAAGATTTGTTAGCACGTGGAATTTTTAACTTGAAACTATCAGTACTGATATTTTGGTTGTGGTTTGTTTTCACTAATAGGAGCTGAGAATTTGAATTATCAATAATGAAATCATATTCAGAATAATGTAATTTGTGTACATGATGAGAATGAGGAAGTAAATTCATGGCTATTCTCCATTGATACCAATATCTGTTTTATTTGTAAAAATAGTATAGGGGTTTTAGTTAATTTGTTTACAGAGTAGTTCTGAAAACTGCTTGTTAACCTATACTGATTAAATTCAGACCTTTCCCAACTATTTCTTCTCTTTGAAATATGTGCTTAATCACTGTTACACATTTAACTTACTAGATTGTTGGGTTTATATTTTTATAAAGTAAATTTTCCAAGGGTTGTGTGATACTTAACCTTTAGTTAGTTCTTTTTCATTTATATATTAAATAAATTCTTTGAGATGCTAGCTTTTAACAGAGAAGTTTTTAGTTTAGTCTGATGTAAGATTATGTAAGTAGAAAAACTACTAGAAATCAAAGGTTAGTTATGGTACTTTATAAAACTGTTTTATCCCTTACCAAACAATTCTTCACTGAGTCCTTATCTGACAACTACTCTCAATATTAAGTGCTCACAGGAATTGTTATAAAATGATCATTTCATAGATTCAACTGATAGTTAACTAATTAGACTTACTATTAATTAATGAGATGCATTTAGATTGTCATCGCTTTCTAAAACTATTGTGTACACATTATTTTTAAATGGTATCTAACTCAATACAATGTTGAAGAGTCAAATAAAAAGATGAATTAGGTAAAGCCCTTCCTCCTAAGAGCTTAATGGCAATAAGATAAACATAAAAGCTCAATAGAGTAGAGGACAAAAGCCATAAGGGAAGGTTTTCTAAGAAGCTGATCTGAGCTGAGACTTGAAGCATGCATGGTACTTTAGTCAAGAAAAAAGTAGGTCAGTGGTAGAGGGCTTGCCTAGTATGTGTGAGACACTGGGTTCAATTCTCAGCATCGCATATAAAGAAATAAAAATAAAGGTCCATCAACAACTAAAAAAATATTTTTWAAAAAAACATGTTTCACTTTGGCTGAAGTATATCATTAAAAGAAGAGGCAGGTGGAAGGTGACACCAGAAAGAGGTAAAGGTAAAATATTAAGGAGCTTGGAGCTTAAGGTATTAGGGAACCATGTAGAGATTTGTGTCCATTCATTTAATAAATACTTGAGAACCAACCATGCGATAGGCATTATTCTAAGTGCCAGAGACATAGAAGGATACAAAGTTCTTGGTCTCAGGGATTTTTGTCTCATGGGAGAGACAAGGCCAAAAACTTACAGACCATTCATTAGTCAATAGATGATGAGTCCTGAAGTAGTACCAGGCCAGGGAGTAGAGTTAAACTGAGAAGGAAGGTATAATTTTATAGTGTGAAGGCCTCACTGAGGAAGTGACATTTTAGCAGAATGATGGATGTGGTATTTAGCATGCCAGGAACACTTTTCTCAAGTAGCTGCAAAACAAAAGACACTATTCCTGTTTCATTTATAGTCCTGCCTCTTCTTCCATCAACAACCATCCCTAGATTATTTAGAAGCAAATCTCAAACATAATTTGCTGAGTTTCTTCATTTGTGCATTATAATTACTACTTGACTAAATCAGGATTCAAATGAAATCTATACATCATAGTTCAAAGATCTCTTAAATCTCAGGTTTGCATAAATCTTTTCCTTGTCACTTATTCTGTAAGGCACCGAGAGTAAAAATTTTCCTAACTGTATTACACTGAGATAATTTATATGCATCTGTTTCTTACAAACTAGTTAATTTGGAAGTCCAATGTGTATTTTTTTTCTTTTAGCAAGACCTTATTGTGGGCAGTATGTCACCAAATATTATTTTAAAGCTATTATGTTGAACCCTGGTTCCTTAAAGAAGTTCAGGTAAATAAGAGGTCTCTATTTATAACACTGTGAGGCCAGATGATTAATGACTTGCTTTTCTGGAATAATATGCCAGTTAAAATTATTTCTAGGAATCTTCTGGTATGAATACAGATGCATTAGAGGAATCAAAGGTATTCATAGAACCAAGTTTGCTGGCTTAAAGGAGTCTTATAGAATTGATCTTCCAATAATTGCAGTGAAAACTACAAGTTATACTTTATAGGCCTATGCAGTCTAGCAGCTTCTGGCTAATTATTAAAATCAAACTTTTAAAAATTCAGTTGCTTATTCATAATAGCTATATTTTAAGTGCCCTGCAGCTAGGCTACCATACTAGGCAGCATGGATATTTTCATCATCACAGGTTTTAGAATCTTTGGAAAGATCATAGAGTAGTAGATGAGCTGAATGCAATTTTCTTGGAGTTCAAGTAGGTCTTTTGTTTGTTTTATGGTGCTGGGGATTGAATCCAGGGCCTCATGCATGTAAGGCAAGCATTCTACCAACTGAGCTTTATCCCCAGCTCCTCAAGTAGATTTTTAGATGTTTGGTGATAGAAGAAGCACTCAAAAATCTAAGCTAATAGATAACTGCCCTTATAAACCAGGAATGTTGCAGGACCATTTCTTGTTATGGGGACAGTTTGTAATAGGTACCTTTCATGTGGTTCAGCTTGCTAATAAAATCTCAACAGCATGATCGTAGGACACAAATGTACATAAGCTCATGCAATGACTGCTTGGGTGAAGTGGTTAGAAATAAAGATATAATATTTTTATGATTCCGCAGAGAGCAAAAACATTTGGCTCTCAGTATTATGCTGAAGCAAATTTTAGAAATTCTAAAGGTATTATAAAGAAATAGCTCTTTTCAAAAAATAACTGATCAAAATTGTGCTGCCTATAAACACAAACTGGCTGATCTGACCTTTCTGTTGAAGAAATAATATACCATTTAAAATGACATTTTTAAATAACTGAACTCTGCTTACCCTTTTACAGCGGAAGTTCAGAGTGAAATCGAAAGGATCTTTGAACTTGCAAGAACATTGCAACTGGTAGTTCTTGATGCGGATACTATTAATCATCCAGCTCAACTCAGTAAAACATCTTTGGCCCCTATCATAGTATATGTAAAGATTTCGAGTCCTAAGGTAAGGAGGATTGCTGCTGTTAGCTTAGCTCTATAACCAGATTTTACTAAAATGTGTTTTATGTTTGCTTTCCAATTAGAACAGACTATGCCTTTATGATGGGTGTCGAGGTTGAAAAATATATTATCAGGAATTTTTATGATTGATATAAGCAAAACACCACTACTGTAATGGGTTAAAGCAGTAATTCTTAAAGTGTGGTCCATAGATCCCTGGTGGGTTGAGACACTTTCAGTGGATACTTGAGGTAAACCTTAAAGATATTTGCAAAAATGATGAAAAGCAACTCTGGGTAAAACAGCACCAACAGTCATTGTATTACCATCATGCTATTATGGTTAATTTTATTAAATTGTGGGTCTAGAGTCTGTGTAATGAAAATTAAGTATTTGAGGACACTGCTGCTAGATTTTCTATAACCAGATTTTACTAAAACGTGTTTTCTGTTTGGCATAGCCTGTTCTAATTGGAAAGCAAAGTTAGCTACATTTTTCCCCCCATGGAATATGGTTTGTATGTAGTCAATATTTTCTTGAGCACAATAAGACAATCACTTTAAGGAGAACAACAGCATTTGTTATAAATGAGCATATAACACATATCATGTTTTAATTCAATATAAATGTCAACAGTTTTGGATAGATCTGATCAACTCAGTGAACTATTATTTTCCAAATGATGAGTAAATGTTACAAACATACCAGTGGAACTTAATGAGAGAGAAGTTCATTGATATGGTTTCAGATAATACATGTCAACTAGTCTTTAAGGCAAGACGACTTGTTGAATTTTAGRTGATATTCTTTGATGCTATCTAAAAGGGTGCAACTAAAATATTCCTTTTACATTGTGTAGCAGGTTAAATTTTTCTTGCCTATTTCAACCAAAATGATACATTGTAGAAGCATACAGAATAACTGTATTCTATGACAAAAACTATAGCTGTTTTAGGGGCTGTGGCAGAGCGCTTCTGAGCCTGGTATGTGTGAGGCACTGGGTTCTATCATTAGCACCACATATAAATGAACAAAGTCTCTCTGTCCATCTACAACTACAAAAATTTTTTTAATTGTAGCTGTTTTATTAATATTTCCATTTCACATAAAAAAGCTCTTGGGGGTTTTTGATTTTTTTTTTTTTAAACCTGAAGAGGTCATGAAGCAAACAGTTTGAAAACTTAGGCTAGAAAGGACACAGTAAGCTCTATGCAGGTATGTAAAGATGCAAGTGAGATTTATGTTAGCATACTGACTTTGTAGAGATTGTCTTTTATAACTAAGTCTGTTTATAAACATCTTTGTTATATATAAAAAGGTCCCTAGATAAAGGAGTCACTAATGTACCTTGTAGTTTACCTGAGTGAAGAGATTTCTCTGTTGAAAACTTGTCTCTTTTACAGGTTTTACAAAGGTTAATAAAATCTCGAGGGAAATCCCAAGCTAAACACCTCAATGTCCAGATGGTAGCAGCAGATAAACTGGCTCAGTGCCCTCCAGTAAGTTTTGTCTGTATATGGTAGAATCCAGTTGAAGAGATCAGACCTGGAATTTCATTGAAAAGGCAATAAATGCTTGTCAGGGAAGAGAATCTTCATTGTTTACAGTGGTATTCTCTCCAAAGAAAAACTGTCTGCCTGGATCACATTTTGAACACATTAATAAGCCAGATAATGATCATGGCTTACAAAATGCTATGTGCATCTTTATGGTATACTCACTTAAATATCAACTACAAGACTGCAGCCTCATAGTTGATTTGTAAGAGGGGTCTCTTTGGGGTTGGTTTATTATTCGCTTCTGATCACAGGGAGCCAGTTGTCTACTCTTAACTGCCCAAGGAGTTTTTAGTACTGTGACCAAAATAGCAATGTRAAGAAGGTAAAGTTTATTTTGGCTCAAGGTTCAGAAGGTTAGTCCATGGTGAGCCAACTATTTCTTTGGGCTGGAGATTCAAATTATTAATCCATTAAGTGGATAATTTGCCTTGGAACTATTAAAGTTCTTCTAGTCCCTTCTACCTGCCCCATTAAGTGCTGCTATAAAAGTTATCAAGTTGATTTGAAGTATATTAAAGGTTTTTAAAAATGTATGTTGTTAATTTTAACAGTGAGGCATGTATTTTCTATAAACTACTATGAAGTTTGAATCATGCCAATTTGAGTGCTTTCAGCAGCTTTTGTCAAATTTCACATCCTGATATTAACTCATTAAATTCTAAATTAAGCCTTTCTGCAGTCACTGTGTCAAGAACAGGCTTCTTCCTATACTGTTCAGATTTTCATTCTTTCTCATATCTCCTATCATAGTTCACTGTTTTTCATTATTGATGATAAACCTACTATTATAACCTTACCAAATATTATGACACCTGTTTACTTAGTGTTCTACACAAGGAGTTGAGATGCCACATTTCTGTTGGCTGTCTTAGCTTATAAAAGAAGAATACATAAGCAAATCAAGTGGTACAGGTTTATCAGTCTCTTCCTCCTTAGTTGGTGGAGGGTGGTGGGAACCCAGTCCTGGGTTAGTGTGTTATTTAAATATTTACCTCCCCAGGAGTTGTTTGATGTGATCCTGGATGAGAACCAGCTTGAAGATGCTTGTGAGCACCTTGCTGACTATCTGGAGGCCTACTGGAAGGCCACTCATCCTCCCAGCAGCAACCTCCCCAACCCTCTCCTTAGCCGTACCTTAGCCACTTCAACTCTGAGCCCCACCCTAGCCTCTAACTCACAGGTAAGGGGAGTTATCTTGTATAGAGAAAGTGGGATGCCCAAGGTGATACCACTGCCGTGGTATACTAATGCTATCCTAACTAAGAAGTGTGAGTCACTTGGATACTCAGGTTCACCAAGTTGTGTACCTGAAGAGAAGCACTATGAACACAACATCCACAGACTTTAAAACTAACTACGTGATCCTAAAAGACCACCTGGACAACCCTGGGCAAGTTCCTTAATTGCTCTTGTCTCAGTGGACTTGGAATGATAAGGGCAAGTGAACATATGTTCCCCGCCCCCCCCTGGAGATTTGTGCAGGCATGTCCCATTTGARCACTTCATAATTTTTTTTCTTAATCCACTCACATGTACTCCAACAGAGGCAGTTATGTGTATACCCACATATAGAAAAACCTCAGACCTGCACTGGAACTACAATGTATAAAAACTTTCTCCCTCCTTCATTTAGTCATTAAAATAAAAAAAAAGTATGTGTGCTTTTCCACACACAACAAAGTCCAGCTTAGTGTCACTAATAAGGTTTGTAACTATATTATCAAAGGAATTTTAATACSTAGGTTAAACATTTCAGATCCGTAAAAAGAACTACACCTGAATGGCCTTGCATCTTAGTTCTTTACACACTCACCTTGGTTAATGTCTGCATGTTCCCTTCACTGCCAGGGTTCTCAAGGTGATCAGAGGACTGATCGCTCAGCTCCTGCCCGTTCTGCTTCCCAAGCTGAAGAAGAACCTTGTTTGGAACCAGTCAAGAAATCCCAGCATCGCTCCTCCTCCTCTGCCACACACCATAACCATCRCAGTGGTACGAGTCGAGGGCTCTCCAGGCAAGAGACTTTTGACTCTGAAACCCAGGAGAGTCGAGACTCTGCCTATGTGGAGCCAAAGGAAGATTATTCCCATGAACATGTGGACCACTATGCCCCACATCGTGACCATAACCACAGAGATGAGACCCATGGGAGCAGTGACCACAGACACAGGGAGTCTCGGCACCGTTCGAGGGACACAGACCAGGACCACAATGAGTGCAACAAACAACGAAGCCGTCATAAATCCAAGGATCGCTACTGTGACAAGGATGGAGAAGTAATATCCAAAAAGCGGAATGATGCYGGGGAGTGGAATAGGGATGTTTACATCCGCCAATGACTTTTGCCCTTTGTCTCCCCCTCCCTCAAGTCCCCTCAAACAATCTTTGGGGTCTACATTGCAATCACATGTGATCTGTCTTGTATATTTTGTATTGCTGTTGCTTAAATAGCAATAGCATGAAATAGAGTATTAATATCCATTATTTTCTTTTGGAAGTGCTATATAAACTGGCCTGGTACAGCAGTTCTCTGGTTATATACTAGACTCTTCAAAACCTGTTTGAGGTAGCTGCCACATGAACAAAATCTTTTGCCGTCCAGACAACGTTGGTGTTTTAAGAAATGTAGATGATGTACATCCAGCAAGCCAGATTCAGCACAGATTAAAAAGTGGAATTTCTTGGTTCTCCAGATTTTTAATACCCAGATACCTGATGGGCATATTCATTCATTCATGGACCACTGTTTCTTGCTTGTACCTCTGGCTGACTAAATTTGGGGACAGATTCAGTCTTGCCTTATACAAAGGGGATCATAAAGTTAGATTCTATTTTCTATGTACTAGTACTGTGTACTGTATAGACAGTTTGTAAATGTTATTTCTGCAAACACCTTATTATATATAATATATATATATATATCAGTTTGATCACACTATTTTAGAGTCTTAATGCCAAGTCAGCAGATTTGCTTTATGAATTACAGGGATCAGAAATGCCCACATTCAGGAAATTTGTAATAATGTTGTCTAGACACCTCTCCCCATTCTAAAAAAAAGTCTGTATATAATGTAAATATGTGTGATTGCTTGACTTAAAAAGGTTTGATTTCTGAATGTTCTACCATCCTTGTAAGTTTATAATTTTAATCATAAATTATGGTAAATATAACCAAACTCCAGAGATTGTTCTACTCCATACAGTTCACCCAGATTGTGACAAACACATACTTAGGAGCTAGTCACGGCACTGGAGTATATGAGCCGGAACCCGCTGTGTGCATGTGTCTGTACGTAAGAATGTGCACGAGTGACTGAGATGTTTGAGATGCTGAAGACTAATGAAGAAACTAAAGTCTGCTATCTAGAATTCTCACCTGGCTTTGTACTTAATCGTGCTATATGTTGCTTTAATAATCCATTGAGAAGTCAGGGAAGGTGAGGAAGCTTGCTGCCAAAGGTAACTAGGAAAGCATTCATCTGCTGGCTCCTTATTTTTGCTCCTAGAGAGTAAAAATACAGGTAACTTTTACTGTGAGTGTTTCACTGGAAATATACAATCTTTGTGTGTTAGAGTATTTGTTTTAGTAAGAAACGTTTACACAGCTTGTGGAAGTATTTCATAGGAAAATAAATTTTTATAACTTCTCCCACTTCATTTTCTAACCTTGCCTTTTAATCTTGTTGTTTATCTCCTAGTTACCTACCGTTCCTCCCACCACCAACTTGAATAGTTTTACTGTCTGTCAGAACCCAGAAGTGCTTCTTACAACCAAAGTTTCTGCTCTTCAGAAGTTATCAGGGCAAAATGGGGTGACTTGAAGTGAATGAAATGTTAATATTTTCATACATCTACTCTGAAGGGGAATCTAGAAGACACTATCTCCATGCCTCAATTATACTGCTGTAGGAGCTTCCAATGCTATTTTGCTAATGCTAAAACATTCTGTCTCTCAAGTGTTAAGACAGTATTAGGTGTGCAAATACCTAGCATTTGAAGCTTGTCCCAGGAAAATGCCTATCTATAATTGCCTAACTTCAGATCGGTACATTAATTTATTTAACAATAATAATTATAGTAATTTATTTTGCTTTCTTAATTATTCCAAGTTCTTGCCAAATATTCTTGGGCATTATTTCTCCTACACCCAAGAATACTGGAGTTTTACCAGCTAAGTGAAAAATTTCAGAATTAGTCTTCTGTACTGCTTATAAAAATTTACAGAATATAAAGTCATTAGTTTTGACATAACTTTACATGATTAAAAAAATATATTCCAATTTAAATTTCTTTTAAAACACACACTAAGATATTAATTACCAATCCATTCCTTTCTTACGTTAGTTCATCCCAATTAACTTTGGAATTCTTAAGTATAACTGGCATTTACCTTTCCTGCTGCTATCAATAGTGCTAATAGATTTCATCTTTTTAATTTTGTCCCTGATTCTTAGTTTCTCACTTGACTGTGGAACACATTAGTATAAATTAGAGTATTCCTTAAATAAATATATTGAAGAATCTGATACAGCATTTATGTGAAAACTGTATAGTGGGCATATGCATAAACGTGTGTAGTACATCTATAAATGAAGAAATAATCACAAGGACAATGGGATATTTACTGACTTGTGGAATGTAAAATTAGTCTTCACACAGCAGAGGCTTAATCTTAACCTATACATTTATACAATCATGATTTTTGTAGTCAACCTAGAAAATGCTGGAAATGTTCTTTACTGGTCTTTGTCATACCCATTTCAATTTTTTCCTATGCTTTTCTCTACTGCTTATTTAAGTTACTGTTACAAAAAGGTGCTGCTAAATGTAGGATGTCTTAGTCATACTGTACTTTGGGACAATGCCACATTTTAACATGGTCTGCTATGCATTCCTGTTAAACAAACATGCACTGTCAGCTACACTGAACTGTTCAACAAACCTGGTTTAAAGTCGTTCATATAAAACAAATAAAGAGCTGGCTTCTGCACTGTTAATTAGTAGTAGTATTAATTGCCAATTTTAGGAATGATCTTTGTAGTTAAGAACTTGTTACATATTCAACAACAATTCCCATTGTGGAGCATCTTCCTTAGGAGCACTGCTAACTACTTGATGTTCCTTTATCCTGGATTAAAATAATAATAATAAAAGTACATAAAGGATTTGTTAAGATATGAGCTATAGCAGAGTGATCTTCCTCCTGCCTTAATATGTGCAATGATTTGGGGATTACGTTTTAAGAAGAAGATCCATCTTCATGATGTATTTCATTTCTCATCCTTTTTCTTTTGCTCAGTGATGAATTGCTACTAGTCTTWGATGCTCTGCTCTTATTAAAACAGGAGTCACATTGCTAGAGAAAACACTTTAATTTCTGCCAAAGTTTATTTTTAACTATTTGTACTTCATTTTGTGATTTAAAGTAAAATATGATAGGATTTAAAGTAATATACTGTTGAATTCAAGTATTTTAAAAAATATTAAAAGATACATTCTACCCCACATTTCTGATTTTCCTTACATTTTTGTGTTCCTTAAAATTGAACAGTTATATTTTCCAATTTGCAATTATTTGCAGAAAAAACACCCACTGAAAATCACCGAGGTTAAAGGAAAACTTTCAACAATATTATTTGTTCTTACTGCTTTAAATATGCAAATAGATTCTATTTCACTGGTATTAGTTATATTTTGATAGTTACTGGTATTGATCCAAAGTTCATACAAGTTTGCTACACTGCTCTTCTACCATGACCATCCCAGCTAAGGCTTTTCAGACAGCATGAAGGAAATATTTAAAATGTGAGGGAGCATGTGGAGTCCTGTTACAGAAGTACCACAAGTAATAATGTTTTTTCAAATAACATCTACTAGACACAAGGCCAAATGAGGAGTGTGCAGGGGTCACAATATTTGAATCCTGTAAAGCTTGAAATAAGTTGTTTCTCAGTAAACATCTATTAACCATCTACTCTGAAGCAATGACTCAATTAAAAATAAAAAAGGGTCTCCATTTCCAACATGTTTCCTAAGCATGGGAGTGGGGCTCAGGACATGGCTGGTAAACAAAAGTATTAGGTGCCATGAGAGCAAAAGATATGGGTACCAGAGGTATACACAAAGAGAACTCAGAAGGGTGTGACCAAGAAAGATTTGTTCAAGGAAGAGACCTTACCTACCTGATCCAAGAGACCTTGCAATCATTATGGATACAATAAGTAGTTTTGAGAAATTCCTAAAGGAACTGATGAGGGGAAAAAAAAGAATCAAATATTAGGGAATTGTTTCCAGTAGTTCCTTTCTTATACCCAAGGCCCAGTAACATTTGAGTGATTTGAATGAAAGCTAACAAAATAGTCTGATGTATTTAACACATAAGACAACCTTTAAACTCTGGTTGGGTCTTGAGTATTTTTAGAGTTTATCTAAAAACCGGGTAGAGGGATATAACTCTGTTAGTACAGTGCTTGCCCTGCATGCATCAGGCCCTGGGTTCAATCCCCAGCACCCTATCCCCCAAAACACACACAAAAACACGTGGGAAGAATGAAGCAAGCTTTTTTTTTTTTTTTTTTTTAAAGAAGTAGATGCTCTGGCCACCACAGAACTATGCTTGGTCATTTATGCAGTTTGAATGGTGATCTTGTTTTTTGCATGAATTCAAGTTTTATAGGAAGTGGTCTTTTTTTGTCTTGATCAGTCAGAAACATAGTTGTCTGAGACTGTTTCCTGTGAAACTGATTATGTTCAGTAGAACAAGATCTAGCTGTGACAACCAGTTGTCAGAAGCTCGTTTTCTCATTCTTACCAAGCACTTTCTAAAAACTTGTACAATGTGGTCCAACAGTTGATAATGGTACCCAGAATGTGAAATGTTCTCATTTATTTTACCCACAAAGAAAACACTCATTTTACTTTTTTGTTTAAAAACTATCATTTAGAAAAGGCCAAGCTTCATTTAAAAGAGGATTTACCAAATAAGCAGAAAAAGTAAGATAAAATACTTCCCTTGGTTCTTGGCACACAGTAAATGTTGTATGTCCCAGGCCCTGAATTCTTAAGGAAACAACTACTTAGGATCCTGGGAACAGAAAACAACTTTTTAAATAACCACATTAAATATTGCTAATTTTATTCCACTGGTTTGATCCACTTTTTTCATACTAAATATAACTAGTATTCTTTATAAATTAAGACCCTACATGAAAATGTTCCAGATATCCATAGCTCCTTTTATTTATATTCTACTGAATATACAGAGAAAAAATTATTTCATAAACTCAAGAATATAATTTCAGCCTCCCCTCCCCCAACACACATACTTTTTCTTTCTCAGATCTCTGGTTAAACTGCTGGCAGCTTTCTCTGTTACCATAGCTACCAGGACATCATTCAGTTGGCTTGACAACAATCTAAGGGGGGAAAAAAAATACCCAACAACAGCAAATGTTTGGAATTTTCATTTCGGTAGATCCTTTTCCAATGTGCTTTTGCATTTTTGAAATTTTGCAATAAAAAATCCTATACAATCCTTATTTGCCAGCCAAATCATGTCTTCTATTCTGGCATCTCTGAGAGAATCAATGTCAGTGTCCGGTAATGGCACAACAGATGGATCAAATCGCTGCAGCTGTTTCAATTGTTCAAGTGATAGGCCAGCTCCCACCATTCCTTCTCCTCCAATCTGTGGTTCCTGTTGGGAGCAAATAAATGTGGACAAATGCCCTGTAATTAGTAAGCAGGACTGATACAATTTAAGGTAGAAGATAAATCAAGTTGTACCTACCACATCTTCCAAGAACAGAAAAGTGAATAAATGCCTTTCACTTTTATGAAATGTAAATTTTGTTTTCTGTATATAGTATGTGGGAAAGTAATAACACATAGTCATCTGATGCAAGAGTACCCAACATGTCCTACATGCTTATCAATTACCATGAAATTACAAAAAGTCTAAACTTCACAGAACCATAAAACTGTATGCAGCTCTGTCCCATTTACTTAGTTCTAAAACTTCATAGAGGTAGCATTGTGTCTTGCATAAAGTGACCACTCAATAAATGGAATACTATTATCAATAAAGCAATAGATAAAAATCAGCTTTATGATCTCTAAACCTCTGAACATTTAAAAATTAACATTTTTCATATAATAAATTATAAAGAAGCAATAATACTGAATGACTTTTTTTTTTTCCTCTCTTGGTTGCTCTTTTGATACCCCTCAGTAAAGTCAGTATGGGCTATGATTTGACATGAGAAAAATGCTCTTAATGAATTTCATAACAAAAATATAGGACTGGAAAGGGGAGGGAAGCCTTTTTGGAAACAAAGTGCCAAGTAAAATAGAACAACACCTATAAGTAGAATAAACATGTAACAAAAATTACACCCAAACTCTGTGCCATTTTAAGACATGACAAAGTAAAAAGCCAGGGAAGAACTGTCATCAGAATAAGGAATTTCCTTATGGGGTATCTAAAATGGACCTAAATAGAGACTTATGATGATATCTGAGTCAGAAGTTTTACTTGACATGTTTCCTCATATGACACACTGCACTTCATTTTCTGTGATTCATGAGATTACAGAGAGAATAAAATGAAATTACTCTTACCTGGGGTTGAAGTTGAAGGCAAGGAAACATTTTGAGGGCCCAGGCAACTTGTTCTTCATTTTCTGCCAATGTTATAGTACATGTGCTATAAACTAGCACACCCCCTGGCTTCAACAACTGAACTGCCTAAAGAAATCTATGGTCAGACCAGGCATACCACCAAGCCACAGAAATAGCTGAAAAGATTATATAGCCTTAAGGTACAATATTTTTCAAGTATTGGGGAGAATTAAAATTATGTTCTCTATGGCATATTATTAAGCATGAAATACTTTAATTCTAGGCTAGATGCATTACTTTGGGGCTCCCATACCCTATATGGGCCAACACTCTCACTTTCATGTCTTTAGATACCAATTATAGGTCAAACACTCCCAAATTGCACAAATTGACATTTTTAGGCCAGAATTTCTTCCTCATATATTCATCTGCCTCCTTGGAATTGCTACTATCAAACCTGACATGTCCTGAAATGAACTGTTATCTACCCTCTGAAACCTACTAGAAACCTTAGATTATCCTTTATAGAATAGATTATCCTCTATCATGTTCATCATCCATCRGCAAACCCTACTGGTACTACTTTTAAAATATCAAGAATTTGGCCTCTTCGATACTTCCCCTGCTGTCATTCTGGCCCAACCTTCTTTATCTCTTGCTTGCATCACAGTTATAGTCTCCTAATTCAACTACCTGCTTCCTTCCCTGCTCTCCTACCATCTATTCTTATTATCACAGCCTTCTAAACTTGTCACCTTGCAGCCTAAATCTTTCCAATGTCCTCCATTATCACTTAAGAATCAAAGTCAAATTCAAAGAGGCCTTCAAGGCCCTATACAGACAACAAGTCTCTTGTTGTCTTTCTGATGCCCCTAGGTACACTTCTCACCCTTGTTCACTCTGCTTCAGAAACGGTGGCCTCCTGCTGTTCCTGGAACATGCAAGGGCGACTCCCACTGCAGGATCTCTGTACCACATAGGAAAGCTCTCCTAATTCTCAGATTGCTCACACCTTTACAATCTTATATTTGTTTACATGTCACCTTGTCAGCAAAGCTCTTCTTGACCACCCCACATAAAATCCCAAGTATTACAATCTAGCATTTCTCTCCCATCTTACTTTCCTTAGTTTGCTCCATAATGCCATAGCATTACTGTCTTATAATATATTAAACTTATTTCCTTCTCCAATTAGACTAGAAACCCCAGGAAATAAAGGCGTGGTTTAGTGAAACTTTTCTACTATATCATCAACATCCACAATAGCATCTTGCATATAACAAGTGCTCAGTAAATATCTGTCAAATCAAGAAATAAAGTTATGCTACAGTGAATTTTCTGAAGTTTATTTTTTCAGATTCTATTTTAAAAACTTTTTGCAAAAACCGTTTTTAAAAGCACAGAACATAGCCAGGCCTGGTGGCATAGGCTTGTAATCCCAACAGCTCAGGGAAGCTGAGGCAGGAGCATCACGAATTCAAAACCAGCCTCAGCACTTAAGAGAGATTCTGAGCCACTCAGCAAGACCCTGTCTCTAAAATAAAATACTAAAAAGGTGTGGGGAGCTGATTCAGTGGTTTAAGCACCTGAGTTCAATCCCCAGTAAAAAAAAAAAAAAAGAACACACACACAGGACATATACTACTGTTTTCTTCACTGGAAAATTTAAACTTTATTACTCTGTGCCAGGTATTATGTGAAATACTTTAAACAGATTTTCTCATTAAAACCTATAATAACCAAATTGTGCTGCATTAGGTAAGCTTTTTCTGTTTTAAAGCCAAGGATGTGGTCTCTGAAATAGTTATCTAATCCACAAAGAGTGCTACATTGGTGTATTTATACTTAGAGGGCTGAGAGGAAATAATGAAGTCATCTTTGATCAAATGTTGTCTATACTTTGTAAAAATCCATTAAGTCATTTTTCCAAGAATGACAAATTCTCAAATAGTCTACCTAGGCTTCTTTTGAAACACGCTGGAGATCAGATAAATTTGCATTTGTTATGGTTTTTCTACATTTTACACTAGACACTGTTCTTCCCATTTTTTAATTAATGCATTTGCCCCTGGTAGACTTCCTGCTTTTTGTATGATAAAAATGACCCAGGCTATGAAAAGACTAATTTACATCAGATTCTTCACATCAATAGGTAACTACATGTGAAAAATTAGTAACTATAGGAACAACTCAGCAACTTTTCTTTTTCCAAAGATAGATCAAGATGTTTGGAATTCACTGATGTCACAGCAAAGAAACTGCCTATGTATTTAAAAGATGAGTCAACATAAAAAAGAGCCCTATATTTAAAATGAGCTCTTTTCAGTCTTTGCCTTATACATAGTAAAATATACATAAAATTGACCCTTTTAATCATTTTTACATATATGATTCAATGGCATTAAGAACATTTGTACAGGGGACTGGGATAGTGGCTCAGTGGTAGTGTGCTTGCCTAGCATGTGTGAGGCACTGGGTTCGATTCTCAGCACCACATACAAATAAATAAAATAAAGGTCCATCTACAAATAAAAAATATTTTAAAAAAAGAACATTTGTACAGCCATCACTACTATTCATCTTTTGAACTTTTGCCATCATCCCAAACAGAAATTCTATAACCAAGAGACAGTATCTCCCCATCCTCCCACTGTCTTACTCCCTGGTCAACTTTGGTTTTTTAGATCTACTTATTCTAATGCCCTAATATAAGCAGAATCATGCAAAATTTTTTTCTTTTGTGTCTGGCTTATTTTACTTAGCATAATATAATCAAGATCCAAACTTACTATAGCATATATCAGAATTTCACTCCTTGTTAAGGCTGAATAATATTCAACATACAGTTATACCAAATTTTTATTTGCTTATGACTCTTGAGTTGTTTCCACGTTTGGGGTTGGGGTGCGGGAGGTACCAGGGATTGAACTAAGGGGTACTCAACCACTGAGCCACAACTCCAGCCCTATTTTGTACTTTATTTAGAGTTGCTTAGTGCCTCGATGTTGCTGAGGCTGGCTTTGAACTCATTATCCTCCTGTCTCAGTCTCCCAAGCCGCTGGGATTACAAGTGTGCACCACCGCATCTGGCTTGTTTCCACTTTTTGATTACAGTGAAAACTGCTGCTATAAACATTTTCCTAATGCTTTCAATGTTTAACTAGTGATGTTCAACTTCCATTACAGCAAAGGAGCATCACATACCACAGAAAAGAGTTTTCGCTGTAGCGGTTGATACGATGTTATTTCCTTTAAAGTCCAAGTACAAGCCATGTTTGGTCTCTGTCCCATTCCACTACAGGGTGCATCAAGGAGAATTCGGTCAAAAGATTCTGGTAAGAATGGAGGTGCTCCTACAGAGAGAATTATAAATGTTACTTGTTATCTTCTATATTGGTCTTCAATAGAAAACTCTTTAATATAAGAAGTGATGATTAGGAATTTACAAATTATAATCCAGAAGAAAAAATACTAGAAACAATTTCTCCCTTTAATCAAGTACACCTGGTTAACCTACTACTTCTATTTAATGTAGATTTGACTTTGTAGAAAGGTTAAAAACATAGTTATTATAGTGTCTAATTATTCTGTTAATATCATATAGATCTAGGTTTAATCAAATGATACCCCATACCCTAACATTAGAAGCCACTATTTATCAAACCTAGGACTTGGAATTAATTCTAACTAATTCTGGAAACTGACAGTTATCTTGCTAATTCCTACAGCAGACAGCTCCAGAAGAAAAGAGAACCTGTTGAATTGTAGTCAAACATCCTGGTTCTAGTTCTGTTGTTCTTTGGCCTCCTTTTGTCTGTGGCCATCAGTATGGCTAAGATCTAGGATGAGTCATTACCCTCCTTGGATTCATCAAGGTTCCCTTTGCATTCACTTGAATAACTTTTCCATTCCAATTTCTGATCTATTTACTGTTACTGGAGAAAGTCTTTAATATAAAAACAGACCATTTTATTTACCTACCTGCTACTGATTGCTTTTAGTTATAGCTAGCTGATCCTACAGGACCCACAGTAATATTCTAAATCTCACTCTCTGCTTTTCTGATTGCAAAGCTCTATTAGACACAAACAATTATCAGTTTAACTCATTTCCATCTACTACTACCTCTTGCTTTCTTACTATTGTCTTAGAAGAAATTCTGCTCAAAGAAATTATTATTTGGGATTTTTGACACATACTGGTAAAATCCTCTGGAAATATTATACCACTTACATTTTCATTATCATGAATGTATTTGTTTCCCCAAATCCTCAAAGGTGATTTTTACTTTATTGGCCATTTGTGACTTTTTATTTTTTTGTGGGTACCCTTTGCTTACTCTTTATCTATTGAGACTATCTTTTTCTCATTGGTTAGAGTAGCTCTTTGTACATCTATTAATATTTCCTCTATTAAATATTTTATAATTTTTTTCACAATCTGTTACATTAGTCCTTTTTTACATGCATAGATAAATGCTGGGTAGTAAATGTGTCTTCATTATTGTGTTGTATTGCTGCTTTCATGTTTTAAAATAATCTCCATTATAAAATCAGATAAATACACCAAGATCTATTTGACGTATTTCTGCTCTGCTCCAGCATATATTAAGAAATTTTTAGACAATTATGACTGAATTTTTTTCCATCAAATATGAATAGTTTTCAATATATACATCCAAAGAGATGAACTAACTCTCAGTAGGAAAATTGCAAAAAGATCCACAGCAAAACATTATTATAAAAATGTTCAGAGCCAATAGCAAAGAGAGAAATCTTAATAGCAACGAGAAAAATGATTTGTTAATAGCATTTACAGAACTGCACTAAGATTAATAGCCGATTCCTCATCAGGGACAACCAAAGTCAAAAGATGCTAAGATGACAAATTCAAAGTGCAGAAAGAAAATATCCTCAGGTAATCAAATACCTTATGTTTTACACAATTATTTTTTAAATAATGGTGTAATAGAGATACTTCCAGGAAAAAAAAAATGTTATTTGTTGGAGGCACCACTATCTTAAGAAATACTCATGGAAGTTCTTCACACTAAAAGCAAGTGACATCATAAGTAATATAGATGCAAGGCTGGATGTCAGCAAGATGGTGGAATAAGGTTTTAGTGTACTTATGCCCATACCTTGAAACATCAATTTGAACAATTATTCACCAGAAAATACCTTTACAAAAAAAAAGCAAGCAGGTAAGAGATTATAGCACCTGAGTATAGTACAGAAATAAGACTCACTTATAAGAAGGTAGGAAGGACAATTTTACATTACTCACATTGCCTCTCCTTCAATCCTAGGCAGCACAACCTGGAGAGAAATATCCTTTGCTTGGAAGGAGGAGGGAAGTAAGCCAATAGCATTTCACCTCAGATTTCAATAAATAGGCCCACCCCAGTAACATCCAGAAGGAGCAGACCCCAATAGCACCATCCCCCAGGCCAGCCTATGTGGTCCCAGACTTCAAGCTTGCTCCAGTATTCTCCAGTGCTGTATTAGAAACCAGACCCTAGGAGTATCCCTGAGGATCCAGGTTCTCAGGCTTCTATGGTCCTAGGGCCCAGGCAAACCCTTAAGGATCCAGCCACTAGAAGACTACCTATATATACCTAGACTCCAGGCAGCCTTAGGGATCACAGTCACCATAGTTCTAGGTACAAATAGGGCAAATATCCTAATCCCAGGTGCTAGATTGGTACCCACAAATTCAAGATCCATACCTGTCACAATACCTACTATATTAGAACCAGGGTCCAGGCCTGTTCTAGCAGATTCTAAATTCAAGCCAGCCCCAATAAACACTGTAGCCAGGCTGGACCCAATGGACTAAGCTTTACATTCATAAAGACTCAAGTTCCAGGCCAGCCTCTCAGACACAGGATCCAGGTCCAATCCTACAGACACAGAGTATGGGCCTGACTCATTACTAGGCCAGACCCCATAATCAAAGCTCTAATCCTATTCCAGTACACCTAGCCCCATAACTATATCAGCAACTAGTTGGTGCCTGAATACTCAGGCTCCAAGTCTATCACAGTGCCAGGAATGTGGCTCAGTGGTTGAGTGCCCCTGAATTAAATCCCCAGTACCACCACCAMCAACAACAACAAAACAAAACAAAAAAACAGAAAATCAAATTCTGAAGCTAAAACATAGAATGAACAAAAGGAAAAATGATATAATGTCAAAAGCRGGAACTGATCAAGCAGAAGAAAGAATGTGTGAACTCAAAAAAGAAATATTTAAATATACAAAGTCAGGGGGAAAAAGGAATACAAGGAATGAAAAAATCTTATAGAACATTCAGCAAAGCCCCCAAAGATCACATTTTCTAATTATAGCAGTTCTAGAAGGAAAAGAGACAAAAATGTCAGAAAGTTTATTAAAAAAAAAAACACAAAAATTTCCAAATTGGGGGGAAAACATAAAAGGTACAGGAAGGTCAAGGTGTACCAATCAAATTCAACCCAAACAAAACAACACCAAGACACACAAATTATCAAAAATACAAGACAAAAAGATCATATTGAAAGCAGCAAAAGAAGCATATCACATATAAGGAAGTTCCAATAGGCTAGCAACAGACTTACTAGCAGAAACTACAAACCTAAAAAAATGAGATGATATATTCTAAATGTTGAAGTTAAAACAAAAACAAAAAACAAAGAATACTCTTCTCAGCAAAACTGTCCTTCAGAAATGAAGATTCAAAATTGTTCCAATCAAAAGCTGAGAGTTCACCACCAGATCTAGCTTAAAGGGAGCTCTCTGAGTAGAAAAAAATAAATGATGCTAATTAGTAGAGAGAAAAAAATATGAAAGTACAAAACCCACTCATAAATATAATAATCAAATACAGAATACTCATTTATAATGATTGTATGTAAATCACGTATCTTTAGAAGGTTAAAAGGTAATGCTATGAAAAATAGGAGGATTGCAAGTTCAAAGCCAGCCTCCGCAACTTATCAAAGCCCTAAGTAACTTAGAAAGACCCTGTTTCAAAATAATAAAAAGGGCTAGAGATGTGGCTCAGTGCCCCTGGTTTCTAATCCCTAGTACAAAAAAAAAAAAAAAAGTAAAGTTACAATAATTGGTAAGGATACACAATATAAAATACATTAATCATGACAATAAAAGTATAAAATGTGGGGAGAATAAAGTAAAAAAATCTTAGTTTTTTAAAATGCTAATTTCAGTTATTAGTAGCTTAAAATAGCCTATTATAAATATGAGACATTTAACCAAAGGCTCATGACCAACACAAACAAACAAAAACAACAACAAAAAACTGCAGTACACAAACAAGATAAAAAAAAAAAATAGGAATCAAAACATGCCACTAGAAAAAGGTACCAGGGCTGGAGAGATAGCTCAGTTGTAGAGTGCTTGCCTCACCTGCACAAGGCCTGGGGTTCAATCCCTAGAACTACCAAAAAAAAAAAAAAAAAAAAAAAGAAAGAAAGAAAGAAAGAAAAAAGCACCAAATCCAAAGGACATCAAACAAATTCAGTAAAGTACAAAATAACATCTAAGTCCTTACCAATCAATAATGATTTTGAACACAAATGGATAAAATTTCTCAAATAAAAGACAGAGCAGTAAAATGATCTTAAAAACACACAATAATACATGCTCCCTATAAGACACTGACTTCATCTTTAAGGAAACCCACTGAAAGTGAAAAGATGAAAATAAAATCATGAATACCAGAGAAATAGAAAGGATCATAAACTATTACTACAAATGACTACACACCCACAAACTGAATAACCTAAAAAATTCCTACATACAAACCCACCAAGATTAAATCATGAAAAGAACATCTGAATATCAGATGGAGTAATGAGATTCAATCAGTAAAAGAAAAGTTCATGACCTGATGGCTTCATTGATAAATTCTTCTAATCATTTAGATAAGAACTCACACCAGTACTTCCCAAACTTTTCAAAATCTTGAAATTCTTCCAAAGTTATAAGGCCAACATTACCCTGAGGTCAAAGTCAGACAAGGATACCACAAGAAAATAAAAAAATTACTTCAATATCCCTGCTGAACATGGATATAAAAATCCTCAAAAAAAGTAATAAAAATCTAGCAATACTTTGAAAAGATCACTCAAAATGATCAAGTGGGATTTTATTTCAGGAATACAAGTATGATTTATATACATAAGTCAGTTAATGTGATAAAATGAAGGGCAAAAACCCTATAATCATCTTATGGAGGCAGATAAAGCATAGGACAAAAATTCAATATCCTTTCATGATTAAGAACTCTCAATAAAATAGGTAAAAAAAAGGAAGAACCTTACACAATAAGCCCACAATTAGCATCACAATCAATGGGAAAAAGTTAAAAAAATTTCCCTGTGAGATCAGGAATAAGGAAGACCACTCTTACCTCTTCTTCTTAACACAGAATTAGAAGTCCTAACCACAGCAATTAGGCAAAATACAGATATAAAAGGCACCCTTAACAGGAAAGGAAGAAGTGAAATTATCTGTTTGCTAATGACATGATCATATATGGAAAACTTTAAAGATTCCACCAGAAAACATTAGAACTGATAAACAAATTCAGTAAGTTGCAGGATATAAAAGCCACATTAAAAAATCAGTAGTGTTTCCATACATTAAACACTTTTCATAAACAAAAAAAAACCTCACTTACAAAAACAAAAGAATAAAATACACAAGAGAAAATGTAACTGCAAATAAGATCTATATACAAAAAACTTTTACAAAGCACTGAGGAAAGAAATTCAAAGACAAAAAGGTGTGCATTGTCTGAGCATTAGAAAACAATATTGTTGAAATGTCCACACCACCGAAAGCTATGTATAGAATCAATGCATCCTCCTCAAAATTTCAATATCCTTTTTCACAGACATAGAAAAAACAATTTTAAAATTATTATGAACCTTAAAATAATACAGCCAAACAATCTTGAGCAAAAAGAACAAAGGTAGGAGAATGATACTACCTGCTACATTTATAGTACAAAGCTACAATAATCAAAACAGCAAGGTACTGTCACAAAAATAGACATRATGATCAATGGTATGAAAAAGTTTGAGGATAAATCTATGCATTCATAGAAAACTGATTTTCAATAAAGATGGTAAGAACACACAATAGTACCTTAGATAAATGGCACCAAAAAAAAAAAACTGGCTATCCACATACACAAAATTGTATCCTTATATAAAGCCATGTTTAAAAATAACTCCAAATTGATTAAAGACCTGGAAATGTAAAATAATAGAAGAAAAGTTCCATGACATTGGTAGGTGATTATTTTTTACATATGTCTCATAAAGCACAAGCAACAATAACAAAAACAGACAAATACAATTACATGAAACTAAAAAGCTTCTGTACAGCAAAGGAAAAAATGTGAAGAGAAAACCCACATAATGGGAGAAAATATCTTTAAACCACATATCTGATAAAGGCTTAATAATCCATAATACATAAGAAACTCAAATTTAAAGCAAGAGATCAATTTAAAAATGGGCAAATGACTAGAATACACATTTTTCAAAAGAAGATATGGCTAACAGATGTATGAAAAAATGCTTAACATCACTAATCAGGGAAATGCAAATAAAATCCATAATGAAATTTATCAGCTCACATTTGACAGGAGGCTACTAACAAAAGAACAAAAGATAACTTGGTGAGAGCATGGACAAAAGGGAACACCGGCATGCTTTTGATCAGAAACGTATAGGGCAGCCATTATGGAGAGTGGTCCAGTTCTTTAAAAAAAACCTACATAATGAAACTACTATGATCTAGCAATCCCCTCACTGAGAATATATGCAAAAGAACTGGGATTAATGTCATAAAGATATCTACACTCCCAAGCTCACTGCATCACTATTCACAACAGCTAAGACATGCAGTCAACCAAGTGTCCACTGACACATAAATGGATAAAGCAAATAAGGTATATACACAATAGAATGCTATTTAGTCTTAAAAAATAAAAAAAGGAAACTGTCATTTGTGACAATATGAATGAATATGGAGTACATTATGTTAAGTGAAATAACCAAAGCACCAAAAAGACAAATACGTCATGATTTCACTCATGTATGGAATATTTAAAAAGTCAAACTCACAGAAGTAGAATAGAATAGTGGTTCCAGAGACTCAGGGAGTGAGGAGGGGCTGGGGAGATACTGTTCAAAAAGTATACACTTTCAGCTAAATAGGAGGAACAGGTGTTTTGTATCTACTGCACAGCATAGTTACTACAGTAATACACACACACACACACACACACACACACACACACACACACACACACGTGTGTGTGTGTGTGTGTGTGTGTATACATATACTTTTTTTCAAAATTGCTGAGAATTTCATCTTATAACAAAAAATAAATGAATTGACAGATGTTAATTTGCTTGCTTTGATCATTCCACATTTAGACATATATCAAAACATCAATGCAACTGGACATGGTGGTGCATGCCTGCAATCCCCGTGACTCAGGAGGCTGAGGAGGATCCCAAGTTCAAAGCCAGCCTCAGCAACTTAGTGAGGCCCTATGCAACTTGGCAAGACCCTGTCTCTAATAAAATATAAAAAGGGGCTAGAATAAATCAGAGTAGTTTTGATTTACATTTCTCTAATTACTAGAGATGTTGAACATTTTTTCATATATTTGTTGATTGAGTGTATATCTTCTTGTGAGAAGTGTCTGTTCAGCTCCTTAGCTCATTTATTGATTAGGTTATTTGGTTTTGTTGTTGTTGCTGTTGTTTTTGCATGAAGTTTTTTCAGTTCTTCATATATCCTGGAGAGTAGTGCTCTATTTGATGTGTGTGTGGCAAAAATTTCCTCCCAAAATGTAGGCTCTCTGTTCACCTCATTGTTCTTTCACTGAGAAGAAGCTTTTGGTTTGAGTTCATCCCATTTATTCTTGATTTTATTTCTTGTGCTTTAGGAATCTTATTACAGAAGTTGGGGCCTAATCCAACATGATGAAGATCTGGGCCTACTTTTTTCCTCTATTAGGCGCAGGGTCTCTGGACTAATTACTAGGTTTTTAATCTACTTTATGTCAAGTTTTGTGCATGGTGAGAGACAGGGGTTTATTTTCATTTTGCTGCATATAGATTTCCAGTTTCATCTCATGCCAGTCAGAATAGCAGCTATCAAGAATACAGACAACAATAAATGTTGGCAGGGATGTGGGGGAAAAGGCACACTCATACATTGCTGGTGAGACTGCAAAGTGGTGCAACCAATCAGGAGAGCAGTATGAAGATTCCTTAGAAAACTGGGAATGGAACCACCATTTGACCCAACTATCCCACTCCTGGGTCTATATACAAAGGACTTAAAATCGACATACRACATACTATAGTAACACAGCCACGTCAATGTTCATAGCAGCTCAATTCACAGTAGCTAAACTGTGGAAGCAACCTAGATGCCCTTCAATAGATAAAGAAACTGTGGTATATACACAATGGAATATTACTCAACAATAAAAGAGAATAAAATTATGGGATTTGCAGGTAAATGGATGGAGATGGAGATTATCATGCTAAGCAAAGTAAGCCAGTCCCCCAAAACCAAAGGCCAACTGTTCTCTGATAAGTAGATACTGATCCATAATGAGGGAGGAGGAGGCATGGGAAAAATGGAGGGACTTTGATTGGGCAAAGGGTAGGGAGGGTACATGGGGGCAGGAAAGATGGTGTAATGAGATGGATATTATTATACTAGGTACATATGAGTGAACATATAATGAACATATATGGTTGTACACGCTATATCGTGTACAACCATAGAAATGTAAAGTTGTGCTGCAACTGTGTACAATGAATCAAAATGCATTCTGCTGTCATATATACATAATTAAGAAAAAAAATAATTAATTTTAAAAGAGGGGGCTGCTGGGGATGTGGGTTGGTGGTTAAGCACCACTGGGTTTAATCCCTGGTACAAAAAAAAAATGCAATTACAATTTGCTCATTAAAAGTAACAAAATTTAACTCACCTTCTGTGTTCTCAATCATATCAAGTTTAAGTGCCTTTGTTCCATCAAAGCAATATGCCTTGATGGAGTTCAATCCAAATAATGAAGCATTCTGCTTGATTTTTTCTATTTTGTTGGATATTTTGTCCAGTGCTATTACTTCTCCCTAATATAAAAAATCAAAAGTAGTCATGAAAAAATAAAAAACAGGTGAAAAATTAGTCTTCCCCACTATCCTCTCATTCCTACTCTACAAACCTATTGAACAAACATATCAAATTTACAGCAAATAACTTAAGTGTTTCCTTTTAAAAGATATCCTTGCAATAATTAATCTTTCTTATAGTTAGCTACTTTTAATCAATAGAAATCAAAACTGATTATAGTGTTTGCAATCTTCAAGAAGCTCAAAAACACCTATTGAAAGTAAACATCAAAAATCACCAATTTGATGTGACTTCCTAACCTCTCAAAGAGGATGAACTAATGTATGAGACATCTAACTTAAAGTGCCTTTATATGCCAATAAAGGTTACTTATAAAATTGATAGTCATTTTAATATTTTTGAGCTAGTCACACAAAATTCCTATAAATTCTTGCAACTAAAGGCAGAAAAAGAAGAGCCAAAACCTCTGTACATCCCAGCAAAATATTCTGGAATTGAAATTAAAAACACTTCAAAATTACTTTATATGATAAAATTTGTGTTAAGTCAAAGTTAAGAAAGATGACAATTTTAAGAATGCATTGTAATACTTTAAAATGTACTATGAAATGATTACTGCAAAAAATGGTGCAATTGACTTTTCTATGTATTTTCTTTTGTTCCTTTTGCATATATCATCTGTCTATGATATATGCCTCAGGGGCACAGACTGATAACAGAAAATTTGCTAATAATGTCCCTAGATATTTTTTTTGTTTTCATCACTTTAATATCGTTTGAGTATTTTTCAAAATGTTCATATTTACTTGTCTTCTTTACCTAGATGTGATTTTTACCCAGCATTATAAAACTGGCTGAAAATGAATATATCTATAATATTCAAATTCTCTTTGGAAAGACTTTACTAGAGAGAATAAAGTATGTATGAATAATAGCCATCAGGCAAATATAATAAACATGTCATAAATTAAAAGGCGGTTATTTTCACTGTCAGATCATATCATAATCAATCTGTACATTTTTAAAATATTTATTTTTTAGTTGTAGTTGGACACAATACCTTTATTTTATTTATTTATTTATTATGTGGTGCTAAGGATCAAACCCAGGGCCTTGAACATGCTGGGCAAATGTGCTACTGCTGAGCCACTCTCCCAGTCCCTCAATCTGCATATTTAAAGTTTCAAGAAAACTGAAAAAGGATTTGCATTAAAATCTATAGTCACAAAATAAACCCTTCTATTTCATGAGCTTTATTTTAAACACTGTTGGCATTTTTTTTTAAAGAAACACTATTGGTATTTAATATATTTATCCTTCAAGAGTTTTTCCTGCCACTACTTAAATTCCTAAGAAGAGTATAATTAAACACATAAATATATCAATGCTTTATCCCCAGTATCTAACACAAAGTAAGTATTAAAGAGTGTTCAACCAACCAATCAAGGGCTTTAGACTGAGAAACTGGTAAGTATTCAGATTTTAGGTACCATTTAGTTTTATAGAGTTTGAAACAAAAGATGGCATCAGATGGCTAAATACTTCTCCAATTAAATAAAATTGTAGGCTATAAGGCTATAATGAGTTTTGAAAACAGATAAAACCAGTCCATGATAAAGCACTTTGCAAATATACATTCATAGGAAAACAATAAGATTTCAACCAAAGTTATCCAAGATCACACCTGCATTGTTACAAAGAAGCGTATTTTATAATTAAACTAAATAAGATTTAAGATACTGAAGATGCACACATTCTGTAAGTATTTATATGTGTTTATTTATGTATTATATATATCTATGTGTATAGATATCAACATATACATTTCCACCCTGATAATATACTCTCAATATTTAGTGGTAGAATAGTTAGAACAAGGGCAAAACTTTAAAAGAAAGAATATGAAAAGATCTCTTAAATGTTTCAAACTTAATTATATGAGGAAAGAATTGTATTTTATAATGTAGAGTAAATTGAGGATTCAATTGGGTCTTTAGATAGTCTTCACAAATAATTGTTTACTGAACTTAATGTTTGGTGAACTGACATAATTGAACAATTTTCACTTTGGATAAATCTGAAGTAGACGTATAGATGTGTTTTCTAAGTTACAGTCTACCATCATCACTGAAATAGGTAATACAGTGAATAGTTTTGTTATGAAGATAGTCTTACCTGATCATGCATTAGTGTTGCTATATGTGTTGTTTTGCCTCCAGGAGCTGCACACAAATCTAGAATCTTCTCTCCAGGTTGAGGATTTAAAACATGAGTTACTACAGCAGACGGCAAATTCTGAAAAGAAAATAAAGCATCGATGCAATAGATTATCAATGATTCTAAATCATTTTTAATTTCAGAACCAGAGGATATAAAGAAATTTTCAGTGTAAATTCAGTACAGCGTCCCCAAATTTGTTATTAGTATATTTATAGAAATTGTACTCTTGTCAGGAGATCAGTATTCCTAGAGTATCCTACAACCTCACACAATACATCTACCTGCACATAAACACACAGGACACATTTTCCAGTCAATTCAGGGTCCATCCCTGATGTTTTCTGGGTATCAGCAAAACAATAATAATTATTTTTTTTTTTACTTCCAGTGGTTCTCAATATTTGAGAGAATAAAATATGAGAATGCTCTGGCTCTTTTTCCAAAAAAGTAGACTTTACAATTTGCGGGTACCGCATCATCTAATGTAAGAATCCTGGATTTACACTAAGTTCACACAGAAGTCATGTTTGTGTTCCTATCTCCATGATACCCACAACATTTCCAGAGAAAGGAAATGTTGTGGGTATCATGGAGATAGCAGTAGGTAATATTAAATCATTGTTATTTGAATTATTATATAAAGACTGCTATTTCAGGACAATAGCCCTGAGTAAGACAGGTGTAATACTATCACAAAATAATCCATTTTTAAATATTTCTTGGCCAACAAGCATAAAGTAATTTTTAAAGCCAAAAGTTTTCAATTTCTACCAAAATACTTAAAATTATATCCATAAGTACACCCTCTACAACTGACAAGGTTGCAATCTTCCCAAAGGAATCCAAGATTAGAAATTCAAAAAGAAAGATCCATGGTGAAAAAGCAGTTATGAATGAGCAAGTTTTCCCTGTGACTATACAAAGCATTAAAATCAATGCAATTTAGGCCATATGAAAAGCAATTCTTTACACTAAAGACTAAAACCTATTTACAAATAGTTCATCTTCATGGGCCTAATTTATTCCAACAGTACTTAAAAACTGAACTCCAAAACAGAACATTAAAGCATGTGGCTACTAAAAATTGTTTGATGCTTTATCTAGAGATAGCTGATAAAGCTTCACTCATAATTATTACAATCTAGCAGTCCTCTCCCACATTACTTTCTTTAGTTTGCTCCACAGGGCCACAGTATTACTGTCTTTTAACATACTAAACCTATTTCCTTCTCCAATTAGAATAGACACACCAGAAAATAAGGGTGTGGATTGTTTGTCTAAATATTTCTACTGTATCATCAACATGTATATGCATCTTGCATATAATGAATGCTCAATAAATATTCGTCAAGTAAATAAATGAATCAGTGCCCTGAGCTCTAGCCACTGGCCACAGTCTTGGTGTCCCATTGCAGCCATGTACTGTAGCTGTTGAGTTGCATTTTGCCTCTGCCATGTGTCCCTTTGCCAAAAGCACCAAAACCTACAAAGGGGAGCCCATGCATGTTATTATAAATACAGGAGTGTGTGGGAAAATATCCCCCATTGAAAATATCTCAGCCAGGAGAAAAAGAAGACAATAAAATTAGAGATGGAAAAACAGATACTATCCCAGACATCACTGAAATTCAAAGGATTACTAGGGACTTTTGAAAATTTATATTTCAATAAACTGGAATGATACAAATTTCTAGACAGATATGACCTACATCGAACCAAGGGGGTATAGAAAACCTAAACAGACCAAAAGCTAACAATAAGATCAACACAGTAATAAAAAGCTCCAACAAAGAAACCCATATACAACCACAAGATTGGGATACTAATTAGAATAAGATGTACTCCATGTCTGTATAAYTGACAAATTATACTCTACTCTCATGTAACTAAAAAGAATGAGCAATTTTTAAAAAAGAAAAATAATAAATAAATTGCTGAAGGGGAGAAAAAAACATGACCAGATGGTTTCTTGGCTAATTCTACCAGACCTTTGAAGAACTAATGCCAACACTTTTCAAATTATTATATGAAAGAGAAAGTGAAGGAACCCTTCCAAATTTATTCTATGAAGTCATTTTCTCTAAAATAAGGACCAAGACAAGGATGTCAACTCCTACCACAACTATTCAATATAGTACTTGAAATTTTAACCAGAGCAATTAGGCAAGAAAATAAAAGGGACATCCTGATCCCCAAACTAGGACACATTCATGAACAAAAATTAAAGACCAAATTCCCTGATGTATGCAACACAGATGGAAGAATCCTTAATAAAATATTAGCAATTTGAATTAAACACGTTAATAATATTGTATATCATGATCAAGATGATTTCATTCCAGGGATACAGGCATGGTTCAACATATGTGAATCAATAAATTAATTCATCACATATAGAATTTAAGGACAAAAATCACATGATCATCATCAGATGAAAAAAAGGTCTCCAACAAAATTTAACACCCATTCATGTTAAAAACATTGAAGAAACTTACCTCAATGTCATAAAGGTATATATAACAAACCCAAAGCTAATATCATCCTAAACAAAAAAATAGAACATTTCCTCTACAGTCACGAACAAGATAAGGACATTGACACTTACCACTACTATTCAATATAATACTTGAAATTGTAGCCAGAGCAATTAGGCAAAAGAAAGGAAAAAAAAGGGACAGATAGAAAAAGAAGAAGTCAAACTATCACTGTTTGCAGATGATATCTTAAACTTAAGAGATTCAAGAAACCATTAGAAAATGACTACAGCTGATAAATTTATTAAAATAGCAGGATTAAAAAAAAATTAGGGGCTGGGGTTATGGCACAGTGGTAGAGTGCTCACCTAGCACACGTGAGGCGCTGGGTTCTATCCTCAGCACCGGGTTCCATTCTCAGCATCACATAAATAAAAAAATAAACGATATTGTGACACCAGAACTGGGGAGGGAGGAGGAAATGAATGTACAAAAATGAATAGCTTTTCTATACAACAACAATAAATCCACTGAAAAATAAATCAGGAAAGCAATTCCATTCATAGTAGTTTYAAAAAACAAACAAACAAACAAAAACTTAGAAACAAATCTAACCAAGCAGAAAGCCTCTATAATGAAAATTACAGAACACTGAAGAAAAAAATTGAAGACAACACTACTAGATGAAAAGACCTGCCCTGTTCTTGTTCAGACAAAATTAATGCTGTTAAAATGACCACATTACCAAAAGCAATCTACAGATTCAATGCATATTGAATAGTAATGACAAAATAGCAATGACATCCTTCACAGATCCAGGGGAAAAAAAATTCTAAAATAGTAATGACAAAATAGCAATGATCTCCTTCACAGATCCAGGGGAAAAAATTCTAAAATTCATATGGACGAATAAAAGATCTAGAGTAGCTAAAGCAATCCTGAGCAAAAAGAGCAATACAATACCAGGGGCATAATACCTAATTTCAAATTATATTAGAACTATAGTAACAAAAATTACACAGTACTGACAGAGAGAGAGAGAGAGAGAGAGAGAGAGAGAGAGAGAGAGAGAGAGAGAGAGAGAGAGAGAGAGAGAAGGAGGTGGGGGAGAGACATGTAGATCAGAACAGAAGACACAGAGACAAGTCCACCCTGGTACAGTCACCTGATCCTTGGCAAAAGGATCAGAAATATGTTAGAAGAGAGACAATCTTTTTAACAAATGATGCTGGCAAAACTATGTAYCCATATAGAAAGATGAAACCAGATCACTATCTTTCACACTGCACAAAAGTCAACTCAGAATGAATCAGACTTGTCTAGCATGGTAGCACATGCCTGCAATCCCAGCAGCTCAGGAGGTAGAGGCAGGAGGATCACAGCCTCAGCAATGGCGAGGTGCTAAGCAACTCAGTGACAGCCTGTCTTTAAATCAAAATGGGGATGGGGATGTGGCTCAGTGGTTGAGTGCCAATCCCCAGTACACTACCCCCAACCCCACCAAAAAAAAAAAAAAAAGAATCAAAATTAGGAATTACACCAGAAACTTTCAAGCTGTCTGTTTTTATGTCAGTACCATTCAATTATTGTTACTATAGTATAATTTGAAATTAGGTATTGTAATGCCTCCAGGATAGCTCTTTTTGCTCAGGATTGTTTTTGCTACTTTGGGTCTTTTATTCTTCCATATGAATTTTAAGATTAATTTTTTCTAGTTCCTGAGGATGTCATTGCCATCTTAACTGGGAATGCATTTTTATCTGTAGATTGTTTTTAGTAGTATTACCTTTTTAATAATATTAATAGTCTAAACAAGAACAGCAGAGGTCTTTTCGTCTTCCGTCTCTAAGAACACATCAGTTAAACATGCTAATATATACATACAGGCAACAACTTCCTCAATAGAACTCCCAAAGCATAGCAAATACCAAGAATAAATGGGATAACATCAAGTTACAAAGCTTCTGCACAGCAAGGAAATAATTAAGAGTACAAAGAAAGCATACAAAATGAAAGAAAGTATTTACAAATTACTCTTCTGACACAATCAATGTGCAGAATATATAAAGAACTCCAAAAGGACCCCCCAAAATAATAATCCAATTAATAAGTGGGAAAATGAACTAAACAGACATTTCTCAAATGAAATATGAATTTAAGACAAATATGAAGAAAATGTTCACTATTTTTAGTCAGAAAATGCAAGTCAAAACAATACTGAGATTTCATCACATTCTAGTTAGAATGGCAATCATCAAAAATACAATAATACATGAGGATGTGTGTGGGAGGGTAATATTTATACACTGTTGGTGGAACTGTAAATTAGTGTACTCACATTGAAATTGATAGGGAGGCTTCTCAAAAGACTAGGAATGGAACCACTATATGAAATACCACTTCTTGGTATTTCTCAAAAAAAAAAAAAAAAAAAACTGATCAGTATACTGTAGTGAAAAAACTGATTAGTATACCGTAGTGAAACATGCATACCCACGTTTATAGTAGCACAATTCACAATAGCCCCACTACAGAACCAGCCTAGGTGTCTGTCCATTTACAGATGAATGAGTGAAGAAAATGTGATATATATACACACACAAAGGAGTTTTACTCAGCCATAAAGAAGAATGAAGAAAAATTAATGGTACTGGAAGACATGATATTGACTTAAATAAGCCAGACTTGGAAAGTCAAGGGTCATGTTTTCTCTCACACCTGGAAGCTATAAAGAAAAAGGAGGGGAAAGAAAGCAGGGTGTCTCATGAAAATAAGAGACTAGTAGACAAGACGACAGAGACCAGGGAGAGACAAAGGGGACATACTGGGGAATGAAATTTATGTTAAATGCACATACAAATATATCACAATAAATTCCACTATTATGTATAATCAATGTACCAATAAAAATTGCAAAAAATACTTTTTGTGAAGTTCAAAATTAAAAAAAAATTTTAAATAAAAGATTTCTAGTATCTACTCTAGACCTACTGAATTAAATTCTCCAGAGAGATATCAGCCCTGATATGCGGTATTCTTCTGCCAAACAAAGTAATACCAGTCTAATCCAAAGAAGACATTAGAAAATTCCTAAGAGAGAGAGTCTACAAAATAGCTTAGTCTCAAAACTATGGAGGTTTTAGAAATAAGGAACGACAGCCACTACCCAGGCCAGAAGAGATTAAGAATAAACAATGATTAAATGCAGCCTGGGATCCTACAGACACATACACAAAAAAGAGGTTAAGGGAGAAACTGGTGAAATATGAATAAAATTTAGAGTTTATTGTAATATGGTATACACATTTGGAGTGCTGTAACATACATGGGGATACTGTTTAATGGTTTAATGTATCAGTTTTTGTTTGTTTTGAATGACATAGCAATCTCACTATTACCCAGGCTGGTCTTAAACTTGTGGGCTCTAGTGTTCTTCCCAGCTTAACTTCCCAAGAACCACTGTTGGTTTTCTAAGCAATGACAAATGTACCATCATAATTTGTTACTAATTAGAATTTTTTTAACTATAAAAATATTGAAAAAAGAAAAAAAATTGTTACTATTAGGGGAAACTAGGCAAAGAGCATACAAGAATTCTTGTATTATCTCTGTAATTCTTAAATTCCACTCTATAATTCCAAAATAAAACTWTATTTAATTAGGAAATCTCCAAGAACAGATCCTAGGTACCTACAAGTTCTTTTAAGTTCTAGAAGTGTTTTGATGCATACTAATTTATTCCAGAGTCCTGATAACCAGCATGAAGGAATTATAAAATTTGTGAGACATCAAGACTCTGTAGGCTGAAACCTACGAAAGAACTTGAATATCTTTTATGACATCATGTTGGTTCCTAAAACCACAATGCAATGATATGTTATGTCTACTATCAGCCTCTTAGCTTTTAGAGAAGAATGGAAACTGACACCTAAAAGCAAGCAGAATTTTCAATTTGACATTGAAGTGTCAGTATCTATTTCAATGACCTGAAGCTCTTGAAAAGTGCTTTGAGATGATACTTCTCACATCATTATACTTTTGGTCTTTTAATTGACATCTAGACTTTATAGTCCTTTGTTCATGTTTGTCTGAAAAGGCTATTGGATTATTTAGAAATTCCAAATTTGTTCTATTACCATTATGTGTAAATATGAGAACTTTTCCATAATGATTCTTTAAGATGGACATTCTTCTTAAAATAAACTTACTATTCTTCTTTTGGAAATGTTTCTTTAAAAAAATATATATATATATTTATATTGAGTCATATATATATATATATATATATATATATTTTAGTTGTAGGTGGACACAATATCTTTATTACATTTTTATGTGGTGCTGAGGATCAAACCCAGTATGCTAGGCGAGCACTCTATCTCGGAGCCACATCCCAGCCACTGGATATGTTTCTTAAGGAAACTGTTATTTCCTGGTCTGGCCTGCACTAAATTAAGCTATTTAGATTTCACTGTATCAGATATGACCCAATTAAAAACGTGGTGGTTCTGAATTAGTCTGTAAAGGGCAAGAAATTTATTGATTGGTGCTGGGGATTGAACCCAGGGGCGCTTTACCATTGAGCCCTGACCCCAGTCAATTTTATTTTAAGACACCATCTTGCTAAGTTGCTGAGGCTGACCTTAAACTTAACAAGGCTCCTGTCTCAGTATTCCAAGTCTGGAATTACAGGTGTGTATCCTCTTGTCTAGCTTGTAAAAGGAAATTTAATCATGTGCAAACTAAACACTAGACAAGGATTTCTGGGAAGTTGTAAAAGAAGTATTTGGGAAACTTAAGGACTATGTGAATTACCTGGAGCTCCCACTTACTCAGCTCAGAACCTGCATTTGAAACAGGTCCTGCAAGTGATTCAGATCTTCCAAGAGTCACTCTGTAAACATTGGCATATGGTCAAGAGCAAAGGCTTTAAGTCAGAAAGACCTACATTCAAATTCTGGCTTTCTTGATTTATATGTGGCAATCAGCAAACCCTAATTTAGCCATTAGAAAATTACTGAGTGTCTACTATGTGCACACACTTTAATTCTCTAGGCTTCCATTTCCTTGTCTATGAAACTGAAGGTTTACAAGTAGCGTATGAAAAAGTGTATCCAGAACACTCAGCATGACACATGGAATGCAACACCCACTCAATTAAGTGCTAGCTGGTATTACCATTTTCATTTTTAATAAGTTTACTGGCCAAAGATCAATGTACATTTTATACAATAAAACAGCTTTCACTAGGGAAGTGACAAAAATTCTACCCTCAGATACAAAAGATTCATTCTAGCTGTAACATCTCATGTTCCTTGTCATTAAGTGATAAAGAATATGACTTTATGATGCTACTTGAATATTTTGAGTCATAAACTGTTTCACAATTTATATTTTATGTAGTTGTCAAGTTGATCTTAAGGTTACAGGTGAGGGAAAGTAGTGATCCTAGTATAAGTATCAAAAAATATATAAAAATTGCACTATACTGATTTTTCTCTTTTCCAAAGTCAAAACTAAATAATGGGATAAGCAGGTATATGGCCCTTTCTTTTACAGAAGAGAGAAATAATATTGTATTAGATTCTGCAAGCAATGATGCATGGCTGTATTGTCAGATGATCACAAGTGTTTGAAAATGGATTATACAACAAATAAGCAAAAACCAAAAACTAAGCAAACAAAATGACCAAAAATGATCCACAAGCCATTGTGTATTAGGTTATAGAGTCTAATATTTCACATTATTACTAATGTGCCAATAGATGACAATATAAATCATTTTCTGATTATTCACCACGGGAATTATTTCTGAATTTGTAAATAACTTTTGGTTTAATACCAGAAAGAGAATAAAGCACATGGCAACTGAACTTAGGTTTGTAGTCAGACTCTACCAATTACTAGTGGTGTGAAGTTGGCCAAAAACAGATCTAGTTTTCAGTATCTTCATCTTATATTGAGAAAATCATCATCTAACCAGCAAATAGTAAGAAATGAGTTAATGAATGAAAGTGCTTACTAAACTGGAAAAGGCAAACCAGATGACTTATTACTGCAACTGATATCCATCTCATAAATCTGATATCATTAAACCATTAGAATCTTACTAAAAGAGACAAATGGAACACTTAAATGAACATCAAATGTGTGCATTATTTAGGGACTGACATTCTTAGATGGAAAGCAGTAATTTTAGTGTCATAAAGTCACCTTTGAATAAAGGAGAGAGAAAAAGATTTTCAAAAAATGTACTAAGGAAAAAAGCAGGAACACTCAGATTTTCCTTGTTTAATCAAAATATATATAAATAGACCACAAGAAATATTTTAATATAAGTTTTTCATAAAAACACTGAGATTTAGAGTTATCCACCAAAATATATTTCAATGTCATACATATTTTTCTTCTATAGATACTTACCTGTAAAAATAAGTAACTGGGCAGTACATTGTCAAATGAAGGGCTGAGATATATTGGTTCTGTCATTCTTATGCCTATACCTCTGAAAAAGAGGAAATCTAACATTAGTGTGTACAAACTACATAGTACATATTTCTATGAATATATTCAAGTAGCATGTCAAATATAAAATTATTTGCCTTTTTTTAACACTAAAATACTTTGAATAGTCCTGAGAATTGTTTGTGAATGTTTACCTTGAGTAGGGTAAAAGAGCCCATCAGAATCAAAAGGAAAAAAATAAATAAGTTTTTAATTTAGGCACAAGAGTTTCTTTAGATATCTTAATAAACTAAAAAGCCAAGAACATCTGATTTTTGATTCATTCTAATCTTTTTGGTAACTGACTTACGGTAACTTAGTCTATCTAATTAATCAACATTTCATGAATGATCGAGTTTATAAGATACTCTACTCAGTACCTGTATGAAAAATGAAAAAAATACCTAGAATCATGCTGAGCAATGGCAAAGACTATTGCTTTGTCAGTCTCCCACCTCTGGGTTAACCAGGCTCCTACCCCCGGGTTAACCAGGCTCCCACCCCTGGGTTAATCAGGCTCCCCTGGCTGCACATCTACATACTACATTCTCCTATCAACTTTTTATAGAATAACTGCCCAAGTGTTGACACAATCCCAATATGACCTTTTCTACCTATGTCCCATTTTATGAGTGGCAGTAGAGCTGATCAGAACAGGAAGGGGCCAGGACACAGATGGCATGGTAGACAGTGATTCATAAAGACAAACAATGCAATCAAAGATAGAGACTATTAAAGGGGGGAGAGAGGGCACACAAACACTGTCAGAGAAAGTCAATAGTTTTTTKTTGTTGTTGTAATAGCTGCTTTCTACTCCTATCAATAAAGGAAACATTCAGAACACCAATCCGAAAACATTATTCAACACAGTAATAGGAACCACCACATCAAATAAAAGAATTGAGAGTATACCATTAATAATGAACTAAAATATCAATCCCCTATTACAGACTCAAAGAGAAACAGAAGACATTTGCATGATTTTCTTACTCCCAAAGCCTTTTAAGGAGAACACAATTTAGAAAGTATTGCTATCTAAATATAGGAAATTCAATAATTTGTTTCTTCAGAGGAGTTTCAATTAGTCAGAAAAACTGCTGTAACATGAAAAACACTGTTCCAGGAATCAGGGATATGGTCTAGTTCTAGATGGATAAATGCAGAGATCTTAGTATGTCCATGTCAACTTAGGAGAAATGAAGATGTCTACAGTATTTACAACAAGCTGAAAGAACTAAGTAAAATAAGAACAAACATAAATTGTTCACAGAAATATTCATGTGAATACTGATTTTCTGGTAAAATTTTTTTTATTTAAAAGACCTATTTCTGCTGGGTGTGGTTGTGCACACCTGTAATCTCACCTACTCAAGACACCAAGGCAGGAGGCTTATAAATTCATGGATTGGTAAGTTAGTGACACCCTGTCTCAAAAATAAAGGGATAGGGATATAAATTAGTGGCAGAGTGCCCCTTCATTCAATCCCTAGAATCAAAGGGAAATTTTTTTTTTGTATTAAAATCACAAACTTTTTTTCCCACAAAATTTGAATGTTAAACTGATCTAGATGAGTCATCTAATTCACTCTCTATCAAGGTAAGTACTATTCCTCAAAGATGCGAAATTATTAAATTTCAAAGGACAAGTAAAATTTTGACAATTAGCATCTGACTGGTTGCTTAGGTAGGCTTTTTAACCTATTTACTGTTTTTACCCAAAGGTATTTTTTTTCCAAAAAATCATGGGATTATGGATTAAATAATTTTTTTCCATTTAATTTTTTTACATTGTGTACACTATTTTTAAACCACCCAAAGGATGTTTATTCCTCCCATAGCACTGAATACCATACTTCATTTCAGGTAGCCCACTGAAGATTTCTTTGCGGCTTAGTTCAGAAATCCCATTTCCAATAAATACTTTTGTTCCATCAAATTCTTTGGCTCCTTTCTTACATTTCCCTTTAATATCGGAGTACACAGAAATAACATCTCCAGCTTTCATAACTAGGAAAGGAAGAAAACCAGATTACATTAACCCATGTTCTAGGAGAATAACAATAACTTCAAGCTACAATCAGGGTCTCTAGGGACATAAACAGTGGAAATAAGCCATTTAAATTTGCTAATTATCTCAATATAATCCTTACAGAGAAATCTTTTGGCTTTAAAATATTCCCAACAATAAATCTAAATGGAGAAATTTTTCAGTGAAAACAAAAGCGTAGTCTTTAAAACATCCTTTTAGTTGGAAATGTTCAACTGAGCAAAGGAAGATATTTTCCATATAAATTATGATCCCCAAACCTCACATTCTTTAAAAGATTTCCTGTAAATCTTTGTATCTTAGCTTAATATGCAAAAGCTCTTTAAGTTTCCTTCCAAAGGAAGATTCCTCAAAAATGTATGCTAAGAGCTGGGCATGGAACACATGTCTGTAACCCCAGCAGCTTGCGAGGTTGAGGCAGGAGGATACTGAGTTGAAAGCCAGCCTCAGCAACAGCAAGTCGCTAAGCAACTCCAAGGCCCTAAGACATCGTCTCTAAATAAAATACAAAATAGTGTTGGGAATGTGGCTCAGTGATCCAGTGCTCCTGAGTTTAATCCTCGATATGAAAAACAACAACAAAAATAATATATATTAAGATTCCTCAAAACAAAATTTCTAAAAAAAAGAAATTAATTTGAAGGCCAGACAAAAACAAACATAGGCCCAATCTGGTCTGCAGGAAGTAGTCTGACAATTCTGATGTGGATCAAAATATTTACTTCCTATGCAAGATAATCAAAGCCCAGAGAAGAATAAGATTGCAATAGATTAAAACTTGTGGCTTAGTGGCAGATTGCTTGCCTTGTATGTGTGGGACACTGGGTTTGATCCTTAGTACCACATAAAAATAAATAAATAGTGCCTTGTGATTTCAAATCCAATAAGATACCAGTTAACCATGGGGTCTTAACTTAGTAAGCATATGCAATATGCTGTCAACTGAGTGAATAAATTAAGAATATCACATTTCACCTAATGTTCAGATTCCAAGTTCTACATATTACCCTCACAAATTACATGAGAGAAAACTGAGGTTTTAAGGCAACAGAGTTGAGAATACAAAACAGAATCTCACTTACACTGTCTATTAATCAGTAATGACTCCTTAAACAAATATCACCATGTAAATACTTATGTGCAGAGAAAACAATTGTCAGAAAGCTTTATGTGCATGCTTACTTTGTTAGTCCTTATCAGGTAAAATCCTCACTGGCTATGTTAAATGCTAAGCTTGAAAAATACATAACAAAGGTAAATTTGAACAACATCTCAATGAAATATACCAAATTTTCCATTTGAAAATACACATGATTTTTAGGGAACCCTGAAACTTATACTTACATTTTGAAGCTGACATGATTCCTGGAACATAGACATGAGCTCCTCTTAATACTGCATTACCACATTGGGCTCCAACGATGGCTTCATACTGCTGTCTTTTTATATTCTTTCTATGAATAGTAAAAGAAATTTAACAGTAATATTCCTCCAACGCCTACAAACATTTTCAATGTTTCAGTATGAACTCTACATAAATAACCTCTTTAGCCTCAACTTTCCTGAATAAACAAGAGAAAGCTGAATTGAAAGGAATAGAGGGTTAGTGTAAAAAAAAAAAAAAAAAAACAAAAAACTGAGCATTTGAGAAAACAATTGAAAGAGGTCCATCTAGTGGAAGGAAGGAGAGTGGCATAAAAATCTGTTAATCACTTACTAAGCATTACTATTTTAATATTGCACTGTGATACTTTTGCTGCTTTCAAAGACTAAAACAGAAAAATATGCAAGAAATTAAAAACATTTCTAGGGCTGAGGATGTGGCTCTGTGGTACAGTACTTAACATGAGTGCAGCACTGGGATCAATCCGAAGAGAACACACAAAAGAAGAGGAAAGAGTAAGATTTCTAAAGTGGTAAATTGTTGCATGGAAAATTGTGATTTTTTTTTTAATCTAGACAGATAAATCTTTTCTATACAACATTTTTTAGTTCTTTTTCAATTTCTCATATTCTTTTTTTTAAAAAAAAAGATTTTTTTTTCTTTTTTCAAAGAGTGTGAGAGGGAGGGAGGGAGRGRGGGAGRGRGGGAGAGGGGGAGAGGGGGAGAGGGAGAGAGGGAGAGAGGGAGAGAGGGAGAGAGGGAGAGAGGGAGAGAGGGAGAGAGGGAGAGAGGGAGAGAGGGAGAGAGGGAGAGAGAGAGAGAGATTTTTTTTATTTTTTAGTTATTGGCGGACACAACATCTTTGTTTGTATGTGGTGCTGAGGATCGAACCCTGGCCGCACGCATGCCAGGTGAGCGCACTACCGTTTGAGCCACATCCCCAGCCCTTCTCATATTCTTTATACCACTAAAATCTGGCATCATTTCTAATATTAGGTGAGATTTTTTCCAAAGATCAAAGGTCCTAATGTGATCAATCTTCAATAAAAATTCTGAGCAGAGTCTCTCATGAGCTTCCCTGGTTGGCAACATTTCACTCATAAATCRTGTCCCATAATCTTTCCTTGAAATCCAATTATCAAACCTCACTACACTTCTCAACTTTACACTACCTGATCCCACCTATTCACGTTGCTCAAGCACACCATGGTTTCTACTTGCCTTGCATTCTACCCATTGGCAAGTTCATTATTTCAATAATCACTTGGTTGATAATTCCAAATAGCTGAGATTATCAGGCACATGCCAGTAGTACCAGCTACTTGGGAGGCTCATATAGGAGAATCACTTGAGCCCACAAGTTTAATAGCAGCCTAGGCAACATAGCAAGGTCCAATTTTACTAAAAAAATAAAGCCACAAATTCTAACGTTCAGTCTTTCTAGACTGATATTTTGAATTACTTGCAGGTAGCTATATATAGATGTCTCAGAGTAACTTCAAACTCAGCAAGTCTCACACAATATTTTTCTCTCCTATATTCCTCAGATGACCTCAAATCTTTTTTTCTTGTACCAGGGTTTAAACCCAGGGGTGCTCTAACACCTCTCTTGCTCTAACACCCTCCAACCATGTGAGGATACAGCAAGACCTCACCAAGCACCTGCACCTTATTCTCAGATTCCCCACCCACTGGAACTGTGAGAAACTTCTGTTCTTTATAAATTACTATCCCAAAATACGTTTGAACCTCTTCTTCCTAAGCCTTGACTTTCCTTGAGTTATGGAATGCTACCTCAAGTTTTGACTTTTTTTTTTCTTTTGGGTACCAGGGATTGAGCTCAGGGACACTCCACTATTGAGACACATCTCCAGCCTTATTTTGTATTTTATTTAGGGATAGGGTCTGAATTATTTAGCACCTCACAGTTGCTGAGGCTGGCTTTGAACTCACGATCCTTCTGCTTCAGCCTCCCGAGACACTAGGAGATGTGTGTCACCATGCCCAGCTTGACTGACTTCTTGGGTCTAGCACCTGACTTCACACATACATCATCTCTTTACTTGTTACTGATGCAGTTTCCTTTTACCTTTAATTACTTTCAGAACTTTATGTCTTTGGTGTTCTACAGTTTCACTCTGAAGTACTTAGACATGCATTGTTTTACTTTTGGGTTCAGACTTGTACTTCTTAAATTTGTCTTTCATCAATTCTAGAAAATTCTTAATGCTTTCATTATAGTCTTTTCTCCATTATTTCTGTTCTTTATATCTGGGACTCATTAGAAATATAAGCTGTCTTTTCATTCCATTTACCATTAATCAATTTCAATTTCATATTTCTAATTTCTTTATCTCTGCTGCATTCTGGATCATTTCCTGAATCATCACCTAATTCAATAATTGTATCAGTTGGGTCTAAGTTTAGTTTGTGGAGTGAATTCTTAATKTTAACAATATTTCTATGAATTATTTATCAATTCTACCTTTTTGTCTTATTCTTTTGTTTTTAATCAGTTAGGAAAACTGATTTATATCCTCTACCAGAAAGTTCTGTTAGAATTTAGGGGACTCTATTTCTGTAGTCTACTGAACACACTAATTTTCACTATGATAGTCTGATTCCTAAATTATCTTTTAAGGATGAGWAAAGTGTGAGGCTTGGCTTAAAAGTGTGCCATTCTAGAATGATTTTGATTGGTTTGTGCCAAGTAGTGGAAGAATTGGCTTGGGACCCAATTTATATGTCAATTTCCCAGAATGTAGATTTCAAGACCATTTGAGTAATAAGATTTGAATTCCAAGCCTTTGTGAGGTATGGAACCATAGTGCATTATCAGAATTTTTTTTCTCTAACCTAGACCCTAACAGAGACACTCCTTGCCTCCTAATTCCTGTCTCATAATGATTGCTGGACAGATCTCAGTACCCAGTGTTAAACCCATATTAAAAATCAAAGACTCTAAATTTAAAAAACAATAAATGGCCAGATACAGTGGTGCACTATTGTAATACCAGCATCTCAGGAGGTTTCGATGGGAGGACTGCAAGTTCAAGGACAGCCTCAGTAACTTAGCTAGACCCCGTCTCAAAATTGAAAAAATGTGTTGGGTATGTAGCTCAGTGGTAAAGTATCTGTTAGATCTCCAGTACCAAAAAAACAAAAACAAAACAAAACAAAAAAACAAACAAAACATAAAAACCATGAATGACATTCTTTCTCCAAATCTCACCCCCCTAATATTACTCTAGATGCTTACTGCTTTATTTTCCCTATTACTCTCCATTCCTAATTTCTAAATACTTTACTATTACTCATCACTCGACTGCTTTATTTTCCCCATTACTCTCCATTCCTAATTCCTAAATATTTTACTTTATTACTAATCACTTGGCTATGCATTTTATGACCCATTTTATTTTTTTATTACATTCCTAGGTATATGTAGAAGAAATGTATTCAGGTTATTTCATTTACCATACTGTTGAACTAAAAACTAAAATTCCTAACTTCTCCAGCTCTGCAATTCATTTTTTTTTAAAGAAAGCTTTTTGAAATTTTGATTGTAGTCTAAGAAACACAAAATACAGGGGCTGGGGCTGGGGCTCAGTGGTAGYGCGCTTGCCTCAAATGTGTGAGGCACTGGGTTCGATTTATTTATAAATAAAATAAATGTCCATCAACAACTAAAAATTTTAAAAAACAAAACAAAAAAACACCAAATACAACAACCCACTCCCACCTACATGGCTCCATGTGTGTGGACACACATTTTTATCATTTCATGAAACAACTCCTTTGTTATACAAATTTTAAGGACATAAATATCCATTTAATTCATAAAAAATTAACTTCACAACTCACTAATGTAAAACTATTACCAGTATTATATTTCTAAAATACAGATCTAATCGTTACTCTAACACTAATTCTTTGGCTCCTAGAGTCTATGGGGGGAAAATATTCTTAGTTAAAAATATCCTTCCTATTTCATAACCTGTCTCTCCTAACTAAAATCTGTCCTTCACCTACCTTTCTGAAAAAAATCAATTCAGCAGCCAAATCTGATCTCTTTTATCATGAACCATCAGGATTTTTATGATTTCAAATCTTTGGGTATGCTTTCTTTGTACCTAGCATACATTCATTTATCCACCTAATCTTATCAGCCTAATTTCTACTCATCTTCAAGCTCAAGTAAAATACCTGCTTAGAGAAAATCTTTACAAATTTCTATGTACTCAGTCCTTCATTACCCAATAGCACCTCACTTACACTTTCATCATGTTAATCATACATCTGACTTGTACTACAGTTGCCATTAAGCTGAACAAGTATGACCCATTTGTCTTTGTAATACTTGCACCTTACCCACAGCATAAATTTGTATAATGGAAACTTGTAATGTTAATTAATGAATTTAAGGAGAGAAAATAATGAATTCTAGAATGGATAGCTACAGAGAAAAGTTAACCTAACAAGCCTGTTTCCCTTTGAAGGGTCTGCTTTTAAGGCTGGCCTTGACTGGCATCTGCAGTTTAGATTTCAGAAGTGACCCTACTATTAACTGATAAGAATAGTTCACTGTGCCTAAAGCCATAAAAACTGGTGTTTAAGAGGAACACCAGATTTCCTTCTTCCAGTTCAGACTTTGGGTATGTACCACGCAGGGGATGTTTACATGATGATGTTTTCTGAATAGAAATTTTGGACACTGAGGAAATACAAAAGAGGAAATGCAAGAGTTGGCATAGGCCATAAAACATGTTAAAAGCTTATATTTACTGAGTAAACCAATAATAAGGTGCAATAGTACACAATAAAAACTGGAGGAAAAATAGTACAAAGACACCTAATTAAAACTATTAAGAGCTGGGGTTGTGACTATGTGGTAGAGCACCTGCCTCATAAGTGTGAAGCACTGGGTTYAATTCTCAGCACCACATAAAAATAAGTAAAATAAAGTTTTATTAACAAATAAAAAAATTATTTTAACTATTAAAATAATTAAAAATGAGGGGCYGGGGTTGTGGCTCAGCAGAACGCTCGCCTAGCATGTGTGAGGCACCACATAAAAAAATAAAATGAAATAAAGGTATGTGTCCAACTACAACTAAAAATAAATACTAAAAAATTAAAAAAACAATAATAATTAAACAATTATGGGAATGTCTCATTAAAACAAACAACAAACTACATGGCACTTTTTATCTTTGTTTTGCTTTTTCTTAAAAAAATATTTTTCTTGTGACACTTTATTTTTTAACTGCACATTTTAACAACTCTTTAAGAGAAGATGGATAAAACTGTGATATTAAATGATACTGTTATATGTCAACCAATTTCTTTTCAGAAAGACTGCCATCTTTATTGAACCAGCAGTCTTTATGCAATTACTTTGAAATTCTATTGATTACCTTATGAATTCATATAAATTAAAATTTTAAAGTGTTTATTATGGACTGACTGTGCATCCTATCCAAAATCTGCACTGAAACCCTAATCCCAATGTGATGATATTTGGAGGTGGCTTTGGGAGATAATTAGGTAAGATGGTAGAATCCCATGAATGGGATCAGTGCCTTCATAAGAGGAACCCAGACAGCTCACCGTCTTTTCACAATGTATGGATAGGACCAGAAGTCAGTCACCTACAATCCAGGAGTGGACTCTCACCAGAACCCTGTCACCCTATCTCAGATTTCTAAGCTCCAGAACTGTAAGCTGTAAACTAAAACAATACTGATATTGGTGAAAACGCAACTTTAAAAGATGGAAATCAAGCTAGCTAAAGAAGGCAAATCTGGCCTCATTTGGATCAAGAAATATGTATTCAATTATGAAAAAAGGGGAAATTTTATTCTAACCCATTTGAAATATTGTGTTGAAATTTTGTTTTAATGAAGAAGGGAGAACTAAGAAAATATAGAATTTAAAATTACAAATTCAAGTCAGGCACTGTGGTGCATGCCTGTAATCTTAGTGACTCAGGAGGTTGAGGCAGGAAAATCACAAATTTGAGGCCAGCCTCAACAACGTACGTATCAAGAGGTTCTCATTCAAATGAGTTTAAAATAAGGGGGAAAGAAAACTCTGTCTCAAAATGAAAAGGACTGGGGATGTATCTCAGTAGTACAGCACCTGTGGGGACAATCCTTAGTACCATCTCACCCCCCAAAATGTTTCAGATACAATGTTCTAAATACTCTTGTGACCTCAGTTAACTACACAATTAACTAAAGCCCCAAACAAAAAACAGTGTGAACTACAAACTTTCACARAGAACCTACATTTTTTAATCAGCTCTGCTCACCAGGACTAGAGCTGTGCTATCACAATATCTGATGAAAGTATTTCTGAAAAAAAAAGTCAAATTAATTGTCTAGGCTTTCTCTTCACCACATTCTATATCCTTCTTTAGCAAATGGCATACTAGGATGCAACCATGTTCATTCATGAGTTACAAGTAAAAAAGATTCAGTCAACATTAAACACAGACCCTATAGTGAGTAGTACAAAAAAACCTTAATAAGCAAAAAGCACATAAATATGAATAAAGTTTCAAATGTCTATTTTTAAATAAGCTTAAAGAACATCTAAAAAGGAAGAACGGCAACAAAATACAAAAGTGAACTAGTAAAACTGAATGCAAAAAGCAAAACATATGAAATAAAAAATTAGAAGTATTGCAAACACTTACTGAATATATACAATGTATCATGAACTATTCTAAGCAATTATGTAAGCCTCAGAACAATCCTATGATTAGAAAGTATTTTTAATTTCCATTTTAGAGATAAGTAGAGATAAGGAAAGCAAAGTACGGAGGAGACAGACAACTTATGTGCTACACTATTTATGAGAGCCACTTCTAAAACCGTCCATTATTGACCAAATTATGTTGTTACACTGTGTGCATGTTCTAATATACAACAACAAATTCCACCATATGTACAACTATTATGCATCAACAAAAAGTGAAAAAAAAGTATTTAAAAAAAAWTTTTAAAAATAAAACAGTCCATGACCAAAACAAGCACAGATTTTTGACCCAGGAATTCCAGGTAATATGTAGTACTCTGTGCACATGCTTAGGCAAGTCCACAAATAATCAATGCAACACTTAGCAACAGTGGAAAGCAGGAAAAAACTAAATGTCTTTCAACAGACAGTTGAAAAAATTAAGCTCAATCATAAGATGTACTATATATATAGCTATTTAAAATAATATAATGATACATAAATCACAGAAAATTATATCATGGAAAAATATTCATAATAAAGTCTTAAATAAACGGAAAAACAATTGTCAAACATTACACACAGGATTTTCTTCTTTCTAAAAATATATACAAATGAATGCAAACATGCATTCAGGTGTGCAGTTGTAAAGATAAGCTGTCTGGAAAAATATGAATTTGATGCTAAGATAATCAGAATTGGTGAGAAAGTAGATAAAAATTAAATTGTCGCTTTTTAATTTATGTATAATTCTAAGTTTGTACAATAAATTTGCCTTTTATAAAGAGGAAACCCTAATTAAGTGTTACCTATTTTAAAAAGTATTAATCTGAAGAATAAGATTATTTCAACAGAATGAGAAGTGGCAAAGTTTTGAACCTATGAACAGCAATGTTGTATCCTCATAAGGGGTGTAGTCTTAAAAGATCTATCTGTAATACTACAGTATTACAGTAGTTGACCAGTTCAAAAATCAATAAATGGCAGAAATCAGAACAGTAGTTTCCTAGTAGGGTAGCATAATCCAAGAAAATTTTCTGGGCTGATAAAAATGCTCAGTTCCTGGGTGGGGTGAGTTTTGGCTATACAGTTGAATATTTGGCAAAGCTCAAACTGTACACTGAAAATCTCACTATTTCACATATAAAAAAATCTCACCTTAAACTAATCAGATTTTGAAGTTAATCTATTTTTTAATTGTAAAAATCTATGCTTGTGGTAAAAAACAAAACAGAAGTGTTACAAGTAAAAATCTTTTATTCCTCCCCTTTCTCCCAATCCAACTTCCTCAGAGTTAAGCTACTGTTCATAGTTAACTGGTTATAACTTCCAAACTTTTTTTCATATGTAAAGAAGCATACACAAATGTGTAGCTGTCATTTTCTTAACTGCAAATAAAGTAATTATTCTAAGTACAACTATTTTGTGTATGTGTGTGTTTGGGGAAACAAACCCATGTCCTTGTGCTTGCTAGGCAAACCCTTGACCACTGAACTGTATCCCTAGCCCATTTGTTTTCAACACTTAACAGATCATTAACATCTCATCTTATTGGTACATAAAATTCTTCTACCTTAAAAGACATATAATATTCTATTGCATGGATAAACCAATAATTAACCATTCTTCTACTGACCACTAAATTACTTTAAAGCTTTAACAAAAAAAATCTTTATTTTTTACCATAATAGTGACTTTAAAATTCTTTTTGGAGTCTGTATAGTAGCACGCAGCCATCATTCCAGAGACTGGGGAGGCTGAGGCAGGAAGATTGAAGTTTGTGGCCAGCCTCAGCAACTTAGCAAAATCTTCTATCAAAATAAAAAATGAAAAAGGACTGGGGATGTAGCTCAGTTGTATGGCACTCCTGGGTTCAATTCCAGGACCAAACAAAGAAAAAAATGGTCCTTAGGTAAAGAATTCTGAAAGCCTGTTTTTCAATATATGTCTCCCAAATATATAAATGAATTAACCAATGCCTGGTACACAGTAAGTTAACATAATTGTGAATTGTGGATAAAATTTTATAAACACATCAGTTCTAAAAGCAAAAAAAAAAAAAATAGTATTTTGGTGCAGTTCAAAAACCAGTTTAATTCACCACTGGAATCTCATAATAAATAAAAGAAATAAAGCTTCTCAGAAAGTGGAAAAAATTTAAAAATTAATCATTGCACACAAAAAAAAGTTAAGGTGTTTTATTACCAAGGTCCTACCACCCATTCCTAGTCTTCTTTAGTGTTTCCCATGACAAAGTTTACATTTATCAATTTATRAATTCCTGTTTATCTATGGAGAAACTTCACATTATCACCAAAGAGTAAAAAACAATCCTGTGATAARTCTTTATTTAGAAAAAAATATAATTTGAAAATGAAACAGTCACAAACCTAGGTCCAATAACAGGAATAAGTAAGACATCCTGAAGGTCTGGATGTTGAAGAACAGGAACAATTAATCCATTAAGCTGCTGTTTAAAACAAACACAAAATTATAAAGAAATCAATATAAAGCTTGATTTGGGGCACTTCCATTTTGTTCCATGGGATATGGGGGGGCACCTCAAAATAACATTTTCTTTAAAATTCTGATGTATTCTGACTTTTTTAGGGGGAAGGTAGATATCGGGGATTAAAGTTAAGAGTACTCTACTATTGAGCTAGATAAACACAGCCCTTTTTATTTTTAGGACTTTTTTTTTTTTTTTTTTTTTTTTTAGTTTTCGGAGGACACAACATCTTTATTTGTTATGTGGTGCTGAGGATCTAACCCAGTGCCGCACACATGCCAGGCGAGCGCGCTACCGCTTGAGCCACATCCCCAGCCCTAACTTGACTTCTTTTGTAAGACTGAATTTTGCTTACTGTTACACTTCACAAACACAAACTATAAGCTGGTCATAGTGATGCATGCCTATCATCCCAACTACTCAGGAGCCTAAGGGGAGGATTATATGCTCCAGACCAGCTGAGGCAACTCTCAAAATAAAAAATAATCAATTCTAGTACTTAAAAAAATTAAAAATAATAAAAAAGAACTGGGATGTAGTTCAGTGATTGAGCACCAAAGTTCAAACTCCAGTACCAAAAATAAATGAACACAAACCACGTTTACCTTTCATGACTTACTTTGAATACATACCTCTAATATAGAATTAAATGTAGTCACTTAAAAGTTTCTGAATAGGATATTAAATATTGAAATTAATATACAATATTAACACCAGAAGCCATGTCAATTTTAATGAAGGAAACAAATGCTTTTGGCAGTTCAGAATTTTCAGTATCCTCTATATTTGGTTGGTTAGACTGGAAATAAGCACAAAACCAGCACTACAGGTGGTGGATGGAATCAGCTCACATAGGCCCACAGTGTGTGTCCTTCCCAAATTCCACAGCCACACTGGTAGCTTGAAACTGACCATTGTGGGAGTATTTAAACCACCAATAAGGTTATATTTCCCAGAAAATTGCCTGTTAAATATGTAGCAGCATACCACTGTTGCAGGCAGATGACTTGTCACTCCATGCAGAATGAAGAGCGAATGGAACAATGGATTGGATAACAGGACTATGTACAGTATTACAGGAAAATATGCAAATATTGAGAACAAGTCTATGCCAGGTAGGCTAGAAATTAACAACTCAACTTCACATACTATATGAAAGAGCAATAACAATAATACTTGCTATGTAGTGTTCTAGCTAGAAAACACTTGTAAAATCAACTTATTTCTAACTAGATAAATGTAAACATGTTACATATTTTAGAAATGAAAGTTTCTAAAATTTCTAATATTTCTACCAAGTCAGTATCTCCCTTGACTTCTGCATTTTCCAAAGGATGTTTTTGACTGTAACCACATCTAACAATGAGTAATCTGATGGATAAACTCCTTTTCTCTCTCCCTGTTGGGTATCAACTAAACAGATCTGAGAAGATAATAAATTGTGTCATTTCTTTTTGTTTTATAAATACTATTTGCTTTATAGTATAGAAATAATTTATATAGAGATCAACCCTTCCCAAATCAAAGGTTTTCTTCTTTCCTTTTCTATCAGAAACTTGTTAAGAGGATACAAAAACAAAACTTTCATAAAATCATACATGTGACTAACTATCAAAGCAACACACAAAAAAAAACAAGCATATGATCTGCTTTTACAGTCCTAGGAAGTATAATTTACATATCAGAAACTCACCCATTTTAAATATAGAATAACTTGCAGTAAATTTAATGATTTTTTTTAGTAAATTTTTAAAAAATGTGCAATCAGCATTCCAATCCAATTCTAGATAATTTACACCACCCCACAAAATCCCTCATGACGATCCTGTTCCCATTCTCATAACACTAATCTTTCTTTATAAATTTGCCTTTTCTGAGCCAGGCCTGGTGGCACAGGCCCGTAATCCCAGTAACTAAGGAGTATTGCAAGTTCAAAGCCAGTCTCGGTAATTTAGCAAGGCCCTGTCTCAAAAAAAAAAAAAAAAAAAAAAAAAAGCTGGGTATGTGGCTCAGTGGTTAAGTGCTCCTGAATTAAATCCCTAGTACAAAAATAGATAAATAAAATTGCCTTTTCTGGAAATTTCATATAGAGTAATATTATGTCTCATTTTTATCAATAGTGTTTTGATGTTAATCCACTTTATTGCATTGATTAATTATGGGTACTGTAGAACAATATTCCATTGTATGAATATTTTACATTTGTACATCACTAGTTGATAAACATTTGGATTTATTCCCTTTTGACTCGTGAATAATGCCACAATGAATAGCCACGTTCAAGAATATGTATGGCCATGTTTTTACTTCTTTTGGGGAAGATTCATAGGAATGGAATTGCTGGGCTACACAGTAAATTTGTATTAAAGATATTACCAAAACTGTTTTCCAAAGAGATTACACCATTTTATATTACCAGCTGTAATTTACAAAAGCAACCAATTTCCTCACAACTCTATCAGCTATATGAAATTTAAAAATTTTGAATTGCAATATATGTTCCAGAGAAATTTATGACAAATTACCTAGTACCATACTAGTTGGGACATCTCTGCAGGACACACCTGGAGTTTGGAATGTGGAAATAGAAATTTAGACTAGTCAAAACTAGACTTAGTTCTTCTAAGTCCCCTTTCTTGCTAGACTTAGGTATACAGTTTCCCATCTAGTGCCTAAGACCCAGGCTTTACTGTTCAATCCTAACCTTTAAAGAAAGAGACCCAAATCTCAGAGTGACAGTCCTAAAATCCTAGTCCATGAGATCTTAGATTTCCATCAGATTGTGATACACCCAAGTTTTTGGAACAATTTGTTAGAAATGAAAATGATCTAATCTACTTGAATTATACACACCTCAGATGGGCTTCAGAACAGTTTCTTTTCTACTAGACAAAAATATATGTACGAGAGTAGTCATTTAAGAAGCCTAGTCATTTTATGAACTGCTTATATTTTACCTGTTATTACACTCAATATTACTTTTTCTATTTATTATATTGTTTTGTTCTCATATACTTATCTTCTTACAACATGAAACTTATCGAATGATTCTTAAAGAGACCATGAAACATTCAATAATGTAATAAGATTGAAGGAAAAAGAAGAAATGAATCAATACCATTGCTAGATAACTGTTTTGAAAGCAAAGACGACAATACAAGTTAAATAAGATACTACTTTTCTGGCTAGAAATCAAAAAACAGTCATTTTATAATATTGTCTTCACTTACGAAGTATCATGCCAAAAATATTTTGTCAAAACAACACAAAAGACTTTTTGTCCTATTTTAAAAGTATTTTCCTCATCTAATTCAGAATGAGAAGTGCCATATTCAAATTTGTAGCATTACCACTTATTATTCAAGCTTGTGTAATTTAACATCCATTATTCAACTTTCTTGTTTATAAGACTGCAATATCATTATACCATTCATTGAGCTTTACTGTGGACCAACATGACACACTGTGATAATGTAATTTGATATATGACAAAAAATTTACACAAACCTTCTTAAGTTCATCTACTAACAGACTTTTTACATGTTGTACTGAGGCTAAATGTGTATTTACTCTGACAGATGTGAATGATGGAGGATGTGACAGGTGATTTAACAGAGCTTCAAATTTTCCTTGTGCATCTTGTTTACTTGAAACAGCTAAAACCTGTGGGGGGGGAAAAAGAATGTTTATATTTCATCAAAATAAAAATATAGTAAATATGCTTCTACATTTGTTCCATCTAATGAAACACCTTTTAACAATTGTTCAGTTCCCTTTTATTTTGTTGTCTTATGTTAGCAACCTTAAGAAACACACAATACTTTGGAGTTCTTAGGATTGATTGTGGTAGTAGACAACTAACAAAATGCCTGACATAAAGGACTTAGAAAAACATTGTAACAGTTTCAAAATATAAATATCTTCTACATCTGTTCATATAAATTCAGGATTTCATTCTACTTCAATAACACTATAACACTGATGGAACAGTTATTTACTAATATATCCTAGAGCAAACTGGAAATATCAATATATACAGAATAAATATCATTGATATACTCACTGTCAAAGATCCTCCAGGGTATCCGCTTTTTAATGTAGTGTTAAATATAACAAATAGATATCATCCAAAAAAGACTGGCAGAGTAGCAAACATACCTGTCAGAAATGAAGGTATAAAGTCTCACCCGGGTACCCTTGCCATTAAAGCTTTTTAAGGCACTTATTTTCCCTTTTTGTGACTACTCTAAATTTTCATAAGCCACTCACCAGCCTACTAAGTCACTGGTCTTAAAAATTTACTTTCTGTAAGTACTGTTAAAATTTAATATTTCTTTCCCTTCAGTACTTTTTTTTAAAAGCAAAGGAATGGCTTTTGTTTTTGTAATATTTTGTAGTTAGTGGGTATAAAAAAAAGCGATGGTGTCAAAGATATTTGAATCTTTTATACAAGAATGTTCACTTAAAAAGCTGCTGAAAATACAAAAGAAACAGAACGGAGCCAATTTTTATCAGACACATCAGACAGAGCATTAATCTCTAGGATATAAAAAACTCAAAAATCTTAACACCAAAACAAATAACCCAATCAATAAATGGGCCAAGGAACTGAACAGACACCTCTCAGAAGATGATACACAATCAATCAAATACATRAAAAAATGTTCAACATCTCTAGCAATTAGAGAAATGCAAATCTAAACTACTCTACGATTTCATCTCACTCCAGTCAGGATGGCAGTTATCAAGAAAACAATCAAAATAAGTATTGGGAAAAAAAGGCATATTCATACTATGTAAGGTGGTGCAAACAATCTGGAAAGCAGTATGGAGATTTCTTGAAAAATTGGGAATGGAACCACCATTTGACCCAGCTGTCCCACTCCTTGGTTTATACCCAAAGGACTTAAAAACAACAAACAACAGGGACACAGCCACATCAATGTTTATAGCAGCACAATTCACATAGCTAAATTGTGGAACCAACCTAGGTGCCCTTCAAACTGTGATATTGTATAATATCACACAATGGAATATTAATCAACATTAAAAGAGAATAAAATAATGGCATTTGCAGGTAAATGGATGGAGTTAGAGAAGATAAAGCTAAGTTAAGTAGGTCAATCCCAAAAAACAAACGCAAATGTTTTCTCTGATATGAGAATGCTGATCTGTATTATGGGGATGGGGGAGGGCATGGCAGGAATGGAGGAACTTTAGATAGGGGGAGGGGAAGGAAGGGGGAGAGTGGGGGAGAGTGGGGGAGGGAGGGGGGGGGAGGGGGAGGGAGGGGGAGGGAGGGGAGGCCATGGGCCAAGGATGGTGGAATGTGATGGACATCATTACCCCAAATACCTGTGTGAAGACAGAATGGTGTGACTGTACTTTGTGCACAACCAGAGACATGAAAAATTATGCTCTATATGTATAGTATAAATTGAAATGAATTCTGCCTCATATATAACAAATTAGAATAAAAAACTGCTGAAAATAATTGCTAAATGCCTCCACTTCTTTAAACACACACTTTATATTTTAATTCCCTTGAAATGAAAATATGTTTTCCATAGAATATAGTCCTTTAATCTTTGAATATAAAATGCAAAAATCAAATCAAAAGGTCCTGGATTCATTAACATATTCAAAAAAGAAGCAAGTAACATTTAAGTGACTTTAATTTGATTAGAAAAGTTAAAAGATTTAAAAAAACAAAGTTACTATAGTAAACACTGTAAAGTGGAATAGAGCACAGCCTTTGCTAACAAAGAATTAACAAAGAGGACTTCCATGCTAGACACTGCCATTAGCAAACAATTAACATTTTGAAGAGTTATTATGCACCAAATGGATTCCAGGTGCTTTCACCTAAGTGTGACACCTCAAACAGCCTTGTATTTTCAGCCATTCTCTATTTTCACATAAGAGGAAATCAAGGTAAACCATGAGAATTAATGTACTCAGAGAACCACAACGCAAATCAACTGCTTTAGATTCTAAATCTGAATTTTTTTTTTCATTACACCTAAACTCATTGCCTTCAGATTTCAAATTGGGTCAGTTACATGATTCCTTGGACCCCAGTCTTCTCACCTATTAGAATGAGAACAGCTGCCTGCAATCCGAGACTGAGGGAGAAGAATCCCAATTGCCTCTACAATTTAGGCAGACGATTTCATAAATTCTTTTTAAAGAGCTGGGTTTAGTCAACAATACTGCAAAAATTTAAAAAACTGTCAAAAAATCGTAAAAATTAAAGTGAACGAGTTTGTAGATCATCTAGCACAACTGATCACATTTACAGGTACACTCAACAAATTACAAAATCCTTTTAACCTAATTGTCAGAGGCAGTGCTCCAAGACAGGTGTTTTCTTCTATCTAGGACTAAGTTTTTGAGGACAGGGATCTTTTGTTTATTCTGGTATCCCCTTCAGTGACATAACACTATGGAGTTAGAGAATATTATGCTAAGTGTAGTAAGCCAATCTAAAAAAAAAAAAATGCGAATGTTTTCTCTGGTATGAGGATACGTTTTTTATCCCCTTTCCCACTCTTAGAATTAAAACGCATGCCTTATTCACCTCTTGTCTCAGTAAGCATTAATTCCTGTGAAAAGTCATTAGCTTTTCTCTTATATTCAGATAGACGAATGGTAAAGAGAAAGTTATCAAGATTTTTATTCAGATTTTCTATTCCTGAAGAATATGTAAATATTTGAATTTTTAAAAAGTTATCAGATGTATTTGTCTGACCCACCTCCTCATTCATAAAGTTCTCCTTAAGATAGTTTTCAACCTCAGGCCTCAAAGATATTTTAGGAAAAATAGGCATTTTTTTTTTCTCGTATTCAGTTCTCCAAGAGAAACGTTTTTTTCCGTGCCAATTACAGTGTGCAGTATCTTCACAATGAATAGCAACCCACAAAGTCCCGGGACCTTCAGGTGCTCAAGGAAATCGCGACGATCCTGCGGAGTTAAATTCCAAAAGGAGGAGGACAGTCCTTGGTTTCCCGAGTGTTAGCTAAATTGAAAGCTGTTTCCTCGCCTCCACCACACCTGGCTTTGATCCTCCAGGTCGCTCGGGGAAGTCACTGAGAGGCCATGCCACTCACTTTGCAAAGACAACTAAGGAAAAAGCCTTAGTGACAGAATCAACAAAAAGAAAAAGAAAGAAAAAACTGGAAACGAGGCTGTCAAGGCTGTCAGCAGCAGCTCCTTTCAGCCTTATATCCTAATTTCCAAACCCGCGCCCCCAACTTCGCAGCGGAAACCCGCTTCCGGTCTGCGTCACTTCCGTCGTCAGCGGCACACCCCTCCCCTCTGACTACCCAATTGACAGCCGCAAATCTATATTACGTCACGATTGCGGAGATGCAGGCGGCTCTCGCGCTTGTGACAAGACTTTTGGGGAGACTGCAGAGAGCGCTGCGTCCCACAATGTGTGGACTGGCATGGATCCAGTGGAAGACGTTCCTAGCCTGAACAACGTTGGCAGGCCATCATTGTTCTTCTGAGTTACCTCCAAGAATAGGATGAGGCCAGTTTATTTGACCGCATCAGCTCCCTCTGATTTCATGGAATTGTTTGCTAGGCAAGCGCCCCTCCACTGCTGGGAACCCCCATTACCCCCCACCCTCCCGCATCTTGTTTTAAGRTAGGGTCTCACTAAATTGCCCAGGCTAACCTGTAATGGAGGCTACTCCTGCATCAGCTGTGATTACACGTGTGGAGAACCACGCCTAGCATCCTAGCACCTGCCTGCCTTATTGTGAATATATCTTTCCCACCTGAGAAAGGAACAGATTGGGAAAAATAAAATTTTTGTTACTTACAAGTGTGGTGTTTATCAGGATTCTTGGGTGACCCATATCTCTGTAATTGTGAAGTATGTGACTTCTAGTGCTGGGCTTGATAGAGTTTAAATTACACTTTGTAACCTCAGGAAAGCTTATAGTTTTGTAACTCATTTTCCTACTTGATATTGTTATTGAAAATTAAATTAGGTAAAATGCTTTAAACACTACTGAAGCAAAGTTAGACCTTAATAAATATTAGATAGTTTATCCATGTATTTGAAGACCACTCAGGAGGGAAAAACTAAAGTCAAGTAAATTCTGATAGACCAGAACTAACTTTTCTATCTCAGGAGGAGTGAAGATAGCAAGTTTTAGGTGTTATGGAAATATGTGTAAGAGGTTCCAACCTAAGGAATGGGGGTTGTAGCAAAGGAAAGAGGGTTACAGTTGGTTTCTAACGAGGAGAGTACCTAGATAATTTGAGAGATTGGATCAGCTTTAAAAATCTGTGCACAGGTAATTTATGAGCCACAGTGACTGCTACTGATCAAGAAGAGAATCAGCAGATCCCTTGCAGACCACATGTATTCACGTAAATGCTTTCATGCACCTGTTGAAGAGACACATTTCCTAAATGTGGGAAGGCTGATCATATTTAGCTAGAAAATACAGAAGAGATGTTAATACTCATTGATTGGCTCTTGACCAAAGTCACAGACCTAAGATGACTTAGATGTTTTGAAACTCAGGATATTATGGGTCCCCTTGGTGAAAATAAAGGAACTTTGTTAGGTTTTTACTAACATACTCTTCCTACTGATAGGGAAGAAATATTAACTTTCTTTTGAATAACCTATACCATCTAAAAAGCATTTGTCTCTCTACAGACATTTATTAATGAAATTATATTGATTTCTTGGGCCATATGGCAAAAGAGAATTTCATGATGGGAAATCTATCAATCCCAATTCATCTGAAAGCTGACCAACTGCACTAAAATCACAATAAACATTACCTTAAAGATTGAGGAGTTTTTCAAATTATTTTTTAAAGATTTTTTTCCTAGCTGGCAGAACACACTGTTTCTTGAACGCTTCCTTAAAGTCATGAGCAAATTGATCTGAGTAATAAATTCAATTCTAGCTGCAGCTGGTTCTTCCAAGTATTATCTATAGTTTAAAATAGTTCTTTCTAAGAAATATTAGATGTAGTTTTTTTTTAAGTTCCTGGAGTTGGCCAATATTTTCCTTCATTGAAGTTTCAGTTTTGTTCTACGTATGCACTTACATATTTTTTCTTTTTTTTTCTTTATTTTGTTGTACTTTGTAGAGATTTTACTGTAGTTCCCYTTTAATTCAATGAAGTAATTTACAATAACTAGTTAAGAAAAGTCATAATCCTAATGATAGTTTTGTTACCGCTGTTTACCAGTGAGGAGTCCTTGCTTCCCTGAATGCTGAAGTATAACACCAGAGAAGCACTCCAGGCAAGTGCAGAGTGGAGAGTAGAGCTTTATTAAAGGACAGAAAAAAAAGACTTCTCTAGGAGGAAGAAGGGGACCCAAAAGGTGGAATCCATGGAAGGGCGAGGTCTTCCCTTTTTTATAGCTAAGGTCTTCTTTCAGCTTTCCCACACTCTTTTGTTTCCCTTCATCTTTCAGTGATGGAATATAGGTGGGAAGGCCTGAAAGGTGGGAGATAGGTGGACTGGAGGAGTAATCTGGGCAGGAAGGGCCTGGGGCAGCTTTGACTAGTACCTACTGGTTTGCTAACCTTACCTACCTATYTGTAAATCTGGCTTCAGTTTCATCAGGTTGTTTTCTATCAGGACTTTTCTGATTTCCTGTATTCAAAATATATTTATTTTCAAATAGTATTATTCCATAGAATTTGTTATCTCCTCTAGATCAAGGACTACACTGAAATTAGTTTTAAAGATTTTAAGGGATTTAAAAAAATTCAGGGAGAAATTATGTTGTTAAGGGCTATTTTAAAAAATAGATTCTCACAATTCTCTACTTCAGTTCTTTACAATTATTCCTACTACAATTTACAGTTGATAAAACATTCAATGTGAACTGAGGTGTGTTTTTTCTAACAACTCAGTATATCAGCATGATTTGTTTAGATAATATACAATATATTCTTTAAACCAATAATATTCAGTTTTTAGTTGGGGCCAGTTTTTCTTCCTTCCAGTTAGAAAAAATCTCAAATTTAAAAGTTTAAATAAAACTTTTTTGTTTCCTTGCTTTCTTTTTGCCCCCAGTGGTACCGGGGTTTGAACCCAGGAACATTATACCATAAACTACTTATTTATTTATTTATTTATTAGTTACATCCCCAGCACTGAGACATGGGCACCTAGCAATTTGTGACAGGATAGCAAGTTCCAGGCCATGGATTCACTAAATTTCCCTGTCGGGCCTCAAATTTGCAATCATTCTGCCTCAGCTTCACATGTAGATGGGGATTATAAACACATGCCACTGCTTTGACCTATAACTAAAACTTTCCCAGGCCCCCTTGGAGTGTTTTATATTGAACCCAGGGCCTCAGACAGGCTAGGCAGCACTATACCACTGAGCCACATCCTCAAACCCTATAAATATAACTTTTTAAAATGAAAAAAAATTCTAATGTTAGAGCTGTCCCATWACCAGGTTAACTGTTCATAGAAAAGGTGTTAAAAATCTAGGCATGGTGCTGTAAACCTGTATTCCCAGCCACTCTGGAGGCTGAGGCAAAAAGATCAAAAGTTTGAGAACAGCCTCAGCAATTTAGCAAGACCAAGTCTAAAACAAATAGGTTGCGGGTGTAACTGAATGGAAAAGTACCCAGGGGCTTAATAAACACAAATAACAAAAAAAAGAAGAAGAAGAAGAAGAAGAAGAAGAAGAAGAAGAAGGAGAAGAAAACAAAGTTTTTAACAAATTTTTCAAATATTTTAGAAGAAGAAGAAGAAGAAGGAGAAGAAAACAAAGTTTTTAACAAATTTTTCAAATATTTTACTTTGTTTCCCCAACCCACCCGAAGAAGAAGAAGAAAACAAAGTTTTTAACAAAGTTTTTAACAAATTTTTCAAATATTTTACTTTGTTTCCCCAACCCACCCACCCCACCCGGATTGAAACCAAGGGTTATTTACCACCAAGCTACATATGTACCCCAACCTTATTTTTTATTTTGAGACAGGGTCTGTAAGTTGATAAGGGCCTTGCTAAATTGCTGAGGCTGGCCTGGAACTTGCTATCCTATCGCAAATTGCTAGGATTACAGACATGTTCCACCACGCTGAGCCTAAATTTTCCAATATTTTAAAGAATTAAAATGAATAAAAATGACAACAGCACTGCTCAAATTATTAATCCCATTTTATTAAAAATGAAAGAACAATTCACATATATTACTGTCTCTAAAATATCATTAGGCTATCATGAAAATTTTTACAAAATAAAATTTATAAAGTTTTGCTTGAAAGATCTCCCTTTATATAAAGATAGTTCTTTTTAAAAAGGTAACTGTTTTTTAGAAATCTGAAATCCAGGGGGGAAAATATGTAAAATGTGGTTTATCTTCTTGTCTAACAACTAAAGAAGCTGTTATAGTTTCAACAAAGAAACTAGGACTAGAAATATCTCTTTGGCGCATTGCATTATGTCCTGGTGTCCCACATGACACTCATAAAAACTGAAAACATTATTGCTGTTCAATTCAAGTTTTATAAGTGTCCTTTATAAAGGACTCAGGGATATAACGGATTAAGCCTGTTTACAAACACASGATAGTTTATATAGTCAAAAGGATGGTCATTAAAATTAATTTGCAAAGATTCAGCACATCCCTTTTTTCCTATGTAAGTTGAAGCTTGCCTTTAATATCATAAAGTTGAAGAATTACTACTTTTTTTTKGGGGGGGGGTACCAAGGATTGAACCCAGGGGTGCTTACGCACTGAGCCACATTCCCAGCCCTTTTTATATTTCGACGGGACCTTGCTAAATTGTGGAGGCTGGTTTTGAACTTTGATCCTTCTGCCTCAGCCTTGAGCCACTGAGATTACAGGCACACACCACAGTGCCCAGCTGCATGGAAGTTTTAAACGGGTCTTAAAACCCTAGCATTGGGAAGACGGCACACTTCTTCTAGTACAGGTGACCAAATATTTTAGCATGTTTAAAGGCCACCCTACCTCCTGACTAAAGTTCAAAGTCTCTTATGCAAAGCTTGCTTGGTCAAATGGTTTCAAAATCAGTTTTCTCTCATTCCAGGCTTCCCCGCCCCCCCAACCCCAAGGCCCTGAGCCTGGTAAGCAAGGGGGTTACCCTTGAATTACACCTCTAGCTGAGGCTCTCCTTTTGAATTGTTTTAGGCACGGATTTTGATTTAGGCTCCAGGAACCTACCTGGTGCTTGGCAAAACTGTTGGGGGAGGGAGCCACCAACTGAACTCCGTGACTGCTGGTATTCCATAGTTCGTCTCCCAATCAATCCTATTTAGAATTAAGAATCGTGGCAGAACCCCAACACTACCTGCCCAAGTGACGGCAAGAGTCAACAGACAAAACTTCACTTCAGCGCAACAAAGAATAGCAAAACAGTGGCTGCTAAATCAGGGAAACTTAGGACTTTCCTCGTTTCCACACAAAACTCTAGACCAAGTGAGCCCCATCAACTTTCCAAACGGWGACGAGAAAACACGCGAGCACCCAGGGAAATCCCCAACTCTCAATCAATAATCTCCCACTTTCTAACCGCTTTGGGTTCCGCCTACCGGAAGTGAAACTGGAGGAAACGCCACGTCGAACGCGTGGGTTGACGTAAGCGCGCTGACGTCATGCGTCGTTCTTCCGGCGATGGGTGGTCCTGGGATAGGGGGGGAGAGGCGGAGCGGAGGCGGGGCTTGGGGCTGGTCGAGCCTCTGGTGGGTAGGTGGGTTCAGACTGAGGGGACTACGGGTCGGCGTTGGGCTCAGCGGACTCGAAACAAAGGACTATCCGGTAGGCTTTCGACTAGGCACCTTCTGGTTAGTGTCTGAGCGGCGGGTCGAGGCTTCTGGGTCATCCAGTGCCCTCGCGGCGCGGTCTCAGCCGGTTTCTCCTCGCTTCCATACAGCCAGCGCCGCGTTGGGGGACCCCGCGCAGCGGCACCTGCTGCTGAGGGACCCCGCGGCCCGCCCAGGTGCTCATGATGGGGCTGATCTTCGCTAAACTGTGGAGCCTCTTCTGTAACCAAGGTGAGAGCGATAGAGCTGCGCAGCGGCTGGAATCCAAGCCAGCGGGGTCCGACCCGTGAAAGGGGACAGTGGAGGCAGTGCTTTTGGTGGACCGAAACATTCTTAGACGTAGAGAAGTGACTTAGTCCAGAGGGTGGGCAGAAACTCGGTATTTTAGACCTGGAGAATGTGCAGGAGAGACCTGGCGTGTGGGGAGAAAGAGGGACTCAGAAGAGAAGGCATCTGGTCTCCCAGAATCCAGACAGTATTTTTGGATTTTAGTGGAGCAAAGCGGAAAACACTTAACGATGCCTGGAGGCATATTTGAGGGCCTATTCAATTTCAATTAGGCATCCTGGAGTCTGTATTTTGCCCCAGGATAAGTGTTCGCCCAGGAACCTAAAACTTCTTTATCTTTCCTTTTTTTTTTTTTTTCCTTCTTCGAAACTCGGTGTTTTGTTGTCCATCCTACTGTCTAAGCCTTTGCACCTTCTTGTTCTCCGATTTCGCTAGGGAATTAGTTCTTTTATACCGGTTTCCGGAAATCATGCTAACCTCTCCACCTTATTTAGGCGTTAAAAAAAAAAAAAAAAACCCTCAGTGTTTTCGGTTTTGTGTAACATGTTACGTGTCCGTAATTAGTCGAGAACAGGTTATGAGACAAGTAGAAGTTGCAAGTCCAAAGGGGCAAGAAGTTGTAAAACCTGTTCTGAGCCAGAATGAGATGTGGTTTCTTGTGAAGAGAGCAAATACCCAGACAAAAAAAGGGGGGGGGGCAACAGTAAAGTTTTAAGGATTATTTTAGCAGAATGATTTCTTAGTAATTGAAACCATTTTTAAATTCATCAAGTTTCATTTTGCCAGGCATAATTTTTAAAGCATTTTGGTTTTTTTTTATGCTAGTAGCAATTTGTTAGTTAATGTACAAATCCTTTTTCTGGATTTAAGAAGTCATGAACTAGAATGTGTGATGCTTCACTTGTTCTTTAAACTGGTAAGAACACTAGTCTTTCCAGATTATAAATATAGATAAAATAACATATATGCAACATGTGTACCCATATATATGTAAGTATCACTTTTCAAGTGATTTCAGAGTGATCAGAATTTTAACTACCTGTGGGTATTATTTACAAATTTAATACTTATTATTTTGACAGCTAAAATGTTCTGAATCTTGTTCTAAGAAATGACTATGTTAAGGAGTGTTTAAATACATAATTGAAAGCATAAAGATTAATAATCACTTCTGTTTATTATTCCCCTTAGCTTAACAAATAGAAATTACTGAAGTAGTTGATTCCTTGTGCACCCTATTCCATTTTCTTTTCTCCCTTTTCTCTTGTATTACTGTCATTTATCATGTTTGAGGCTTTCTGGCTGAAACTGGAAAGTAGTAAAAAATATAAAGTATAGAAAATAAAAGACATTCATGGGCTATATTTTATAGTCACAGAATTGCTTATGCCTCTTAAATCACCATTTCTACCTAGAATTTTTATTTAACTTTCTTGTTGAAAATTTAGAATTAATGGTTATTTAATTTTATTCTCATTCTGCAAAATTTACTCATATTCCATAAACCAGTCTTGGGAATTAGGCATAGGAGATAGAAAAATTAAAAACAAACCAAAAAAAAAAAAAATACAAACCTCACATGCTCTTAGAGCACAAGCAATATGGTAAATTGCTTCCCAGATATTACTAAAAATGTAGGTGGCATCAAGAATGAAGTGATCAATTTTTCTTAGGTGGTTCCTGGAATACTTTGCAGAATAAGATACTTGGACTTAAAGATGAGTAGTAGGTTAGGAAGCGTGCTAGATACGCTGGGTAAAATGGGCATAYTCTCCTCTGGAGAAGAGCTAATTAATACAAAAGGGGAAAAATGAAATACTTTGGTACATTTAAGGAAGCTGAATAGTTTTATTTGGTCGTATAATATATTGATTTGCTTGTTGCTTAATTAGAAGAGATGAGAGTGAAGAGTTAACAGCAGGAACCAAATCACATAGGGCCTCAATATGTAGAGCAAGCAGTGAGAGCCATTGAAGAGTTTGGTCTTTGGATAATTGTTTAAAACAGAATGATGTGATGAGACTTATATCTTAGTCCAGCGTGGGGTTGTTTTTTTGTTTTTACTATATCAGCAAAACTACCAATCGAAGTATCTTCCATTTTCATCACAATACACACCTAATCCCGAAGTATTCAGTTTGGGTTGTATATTAGAATAATGCCCACAATCCCATGTTAGACCAGTTAAATCAGAATGAGGGAGGGTGTCCTGGGCATCGGTGCCAAGATAATTCTAATACGAAGTAGTGCTAAGAACTACTGATTTTATGTACTGCTTTCCCTTAACTCTGTTTCCATATTTCCTCTTTGGTTTGGTAGCATTTTAGAGCCCCAAGCATCTTCTTATAAACAAAATGTCTTTTTGGGAATAAGTATACTAAAACATGTATGTATTATCTAAGTAAAGCAATTTAAACATAATTAATCCTTGCAAATTTGTATTATTTTAATTTTAAGCTAGAAGGTTAATACTTTGACACAATTATCATTGAAATAATTTCAAAATCCGATTGCCTTTGCAAACATTATTTTATATATTTATGTGTTTGTATATGTGTATTTTCATAAAACATACTTGTGGGGGCTATCTTTAAATTTACATCTAAAGTTTGACATATCATTTAACTTTTATAGGCCTGGTCCTTTTTTTCTGTTACGATTGTACATACTATTCATCAGTTTTTTCCTAGTGTAATCCAGAAAGACAAATGAAATAAGTTTTTTGTTGTTCATTTTCATAATCAAATAACAATAACATTAATTTCATTAATCATTTCTTTCTCATTGTTGATTTTCATGTTATCATTTTGAGCATTAGTATCTAGCTTTCTTTTTCTTTCTTTTTTTTTTTCCTGGATCCTGGGGATTGAACCCAGACACACTTTACCACTGATACTACATCTTCAATTCTTTTTTTTCTCCTTCTCACTAAGTTGCTGAAAGCCTCGCATAGTTGTTGAGGCTGGCCTCAAACTTGTGACCCCCCTTCTCAGCCTCCTGGGTTGCTGGGATTACAGCATGTGCCACCATATCCAGCTTGATATCCATCTTTTTATGAGTGTTACTATACATTTCTAACCTCTTAAATCTTGTTTCTTACATTTTCCCCCTTTGCTTATTCTGCTCGTAATTCTGGACTTTTTGCTGGTTTCATATATACCAAACTTATCTGTCTGCTTCCTGTCTTCTAGAATCTTCTAGAATATTATTTATCCATACCTTAGCAAGGTTCAGTCCATTAATTTGTTCAGATTTCTGATCACCCCATTCCTTAGAAGACTTTCTTTGTCATTTTATTAAAAACAGCACTCTTCCTGTCTTAACACTCTGTGTCTTTACTGTTTTTCTGAATAATATTTTTCTATACCCACAATCATATTATGTTTATTTACTTGTTCTATTTCTTTCAATGGAAATAAACTTGTGGAATTAACTTGTTCCTATTCACTCTTATATTTACAGTGACTGGCAAATAGGTGGTGCTAATTTTTGTCAATTTTTTTGCTTTATTTTATGCAAACGTGAAGTTTTATATCAAAGTAGCATATAAATTGTTTTTTAAAAAATCGAATAATGTTAGTCTTAAACTGATAAGTATGTCAGTCATGTCTCTCTAAACTTTTCTTCTAATGTAACATACTTCCATATTTCTGAATACTATGCCTGTATGGAAATTTTAAACATTATCATTTGCTAACTTATGGTAGAAGAGAATACTATTATGCCTGTTCAATTCCTTCATCATCATAGTATAGGTTTTTGGTATAATTTAATCTCTTTTTTGAAGACTAAAGTCTTGTTACCCCTGGGCCATAGCATGCTTATAATTGTTTCTGTTTTTCCTTTAATATTTTTACCCCAGTGTAAATAATTACAAAATTGTTTTAGTTTTCTTTGTATGTTTGGCTAAGAGGTTCCTGCTCCAAATCCAACATTTACCTCTCTGCTGGTTTGAACTTGTCTTTGCCATTATTGTACGGTTTTTTGTTTGTTTCCTTAAACCAAGTTACTACATCTCAAGCTCTTTTAGTTTTTTCTTTTTGGAGACAGGGTCTCACTAAATTGCCACAGCTCTCCTCAAATTAGTAATCCTCCTACCTCAGCCCCTAGAGTAGCTCAGATTATAGGCATGACATTTTCAGTTTAAAGATAAAGATGTAGTTCTTTTGCTGGATGCGGTGGTGGTGTGTGTCTATAATCCCAACTTCTAGGGAAGTGAGGCAGGAGAATTCAAAGTTCCAGGCTATCCTCAGCAATTTGGTGAGGCCCTAAACATTTTAGTGAAACCCTATCTTAAAATAAAAGATAAAGAGGATGGGGAATGTGGCTCAGTGTTAAAATACCTCTGGGTTCAATACCCATTACCCCCCCACACAAAAAAAAAAAAAACAGCTCTGTTGGAAAGTTTTTTTTGTTTGTTTGTTTTTGTTTTTGTTTTGTTTTTTTTTTTTACAGGAGAGAGAGAGAGAGAATATACTTTTTTTTTTTTTTTGGTAGATGGACAACACAATGCCTTTATTTTTTTTTTATTTTTTTTTTATGTGGTGCTGATGATCAAACCCCCGGTCTTGCCCATGCTAGGCGAGTGCTCTTTCACTGAGCCACAATCCCAACGCCATCATCTGTTGGAAATTTTTAAAAATTTTCTCTTAGGGTTTTTTCCCTAGAAATATTATTGATTATGTTATGGTAGATTGGTTTTCAAAGATTCCTTTTCATATTGCCTTTTTTCCTACCTATATTTTCTGGGTTATTTCCTTTGTCTTCCAATCTCCCCATGGAGTATTTTGGTTCAGCTACTATATTTTGTATATATAAAAGAAATTTTTCTAACTTGCTAAATATTTTCTTACTGTTTTTGTGCCACTGTTCAATGAATATTGTCTTTTCCCTCTTTAGTTTTTTTGAGKTTTTTTTTCAGTTCTCTAATATTATGTTTATAT